CCTCAACCCCCCGCCAGGAAAGGGCCGAGATCCTTCGGAAGGTGGCTGCGGCCCTGCGCACCCCCGAGGCCCAACTCCCTAGGGCGGGGCATGTTTGTTTGTAAGCTCGAGGCGTTTGGGGTTTCGGGTGTAGGGTTTAGGGTTTCGGGTTTCGGGTTTACGCTTTACGCTTTACGGTTTACGGTTTACGGTTTACGGCGGTTTACGGTTTGGTTTAGGGTTTAGGGTTCAGTTTGGGGTTTAGGGTTAGTACATGGTCCCTTCATATGGTCCCTTGCCTTCTTTAAAGGGTTGTGAAGTATGGGCCCTTTGCGGCGGTTTATGGTGCAGGTGGTGTTTAGTGTTCATGGAGATGAGGGTTTTGGGTTTGGGTTTTGGGATACAATGCTTCGGAGTCAATTCTTAAGTCCCGGTTGCTTTGCTCCCTGAAACCCAAGCCCTCATGGCTCTGACTATGAGCTGCGCCAGATGAAGCTTTTCAGAAGGTCCCTTATACTAACAGTCCTTAATAGAGATTATACTAGGGTGGGTTCAGGACTGTTAGTTTTTCGCCAAGAGTTCCGCCCGTCGTGTTTTGGGGAGGGGGAGGGGGTAGAAAATATCTAAACCCTAAACCCCAAACCCTAAACCCTAAACCCTAAACCCTAAATTCGCGGGCGCGCCCAGGTTGTGGATGCGTTCTGCGTGCAGCTCCCGGGAAAATTTAAATACCCAGCCAAACTCCAAACCCGAAAGCCCTAAAGCCCTAAAGCCCAAACACTCTCGGGTTTTCGGGCTTGGGTGCGTTTTCTAGTGCTTCGTAGGGCTTCTAGGGATTTGGGGTTTTAGCTTAGGGGATCTAAGGGTAGCTAGGGTTTAGGGTTTAGGGTTTAGGGTTTAGGGTTTAGGGTTTAGGGTTTAGGGTTTAGGGTTTAGGGTTTAGGGTTTAGGGTTTAGGGTTTAGGGTTTAGGGTTTAGGGTTTAGGGTTTAGGGTTTAGGGTTTAGGGTTTAGGGTTTAGGGTGGTCCCTTCAGGGCCTCAGGGCAGGTTCAAGGCACCGATCGTTTTGGGAAGACCTGGAGTTTAGGGTTTAGGGTTTAGGGTTTAGGGTTTAGGGTTTAGGGTTTAGGGTTTAGGGTTTAGGGTTTAGGGTTTAGGGTTTCCCTAAACCCTAGACCCTACAATCCCTAGAAACTCTATCCCTATAAACCCCAGAAACCTTACAAACCCTATGAACCCTATAAAACCCTATAAAACCCTATAAAACCCTATAAAACCCTATAAAACCCTTAAAACCCTATAAGCCCTATTAAACCCTAGAAGCCCTGTAAAACCCCTGTAAACCCTAAACCCGAAAACCCTCAAAGCGTCGCAGCGACTTCGTTGCCCCACTTCTGCAGGGAAGAACTGAGCCTGACACCTGAAGCCCCACACCAAGGGTTTAGAGCTTCTGTAAGCGGAGGGTTTAGGGTTAAGGGTTTAGGGTTTGGTGTTTAGGGTTTGGGGTTTGGGGTTTGGGGGTTAGGGTTTCGGATTTAGGGTGTAGGGTGTATAGGGTTTGTATGGGTTTCCCTAAGCCCAAAAACCTTAAATCCTACACCTGCCGGCCTTAGGGTTTAGGAACCCCAAAAGCCCTGTTTAGGGTTTAGGGTTTAGGGTTCAGGGTTTATTTAGGGTTTAGGGTTTAGGGTTCGAGCCTTTTGTTTTTTGCCGAGGCCTCAGACCAGTAGCCGCCGCTCTGAGGTCATCGAAAGCCGCGATTGCGGCAAGCCTTTTGCAGAAAGCCTGGAACTTGTGTAGGGTGCAGGGTGGAGGGTTTCGGGTCTACTGTCCAGGGTTGAAAAGGTGGGCCTTTATATGGAAACAGGCCGAAGTTTTCAAAACCGCATTTCTACAATGATAACCTGGCTCTACAACTTTGCAGCTCTTGGGACCCCGTGAAACCTGTCAATACCTGTCAGAAACCCGCAAAAAGGGCATCGTACGAAACCCTTCTTGCAGGAACCGCGTTCTTCTCCCCAAACCCTGGTTCTCCCAAGCGACCTACATGTTCCTGGGTTCTCTAGGCTTAGGGTTCAGGGTTTAGGGTTTAGGGTTTAGGGTTTAGGGTTTAGGGTTTAGGGTTTAGGGTTCGGGGTTTAGGGTCTAGTGTCTAGGGTTTAGGGTTTAGGGTTTAGGGCTAGGGTCTGTGGGCAGATAGCAGGGTCGGAGGCCAGGGGGCACTTCAATGAGTCTGCGTTTTAACTTCTTGCGATGGGACCACAGACAGCCTTTAGGGGGGTTTACGGGGTTTGGTGGCTTTAGGGGGTTGGAGGGTTTAGGGGGTTTTGGGTTTTGAGTGTTAGGGTTAGGGTTTGCCCCGAAACCTTCGGCTGCTTGCAATGGAGTGTCAAGTCCAAGTACTTTGCGCGAGCTTGAGCTGAACCCTAAAGCGAGCCCTACAGCCTCAGCCCTTATACTCTTGGGCGAAGGGAAGCAACAAGACTCTGCAGGGGGTTGACCTAAATTCCTGGCACATTTTTTGGGCACTGCACGCTGAACTATAAGGAATAGAGGCCCCAAAAGGGTCCAACCCTGAACCCTGAACCCTGCACTGCGTTGGGTTTACGGTTTGGGGTACACGATGCCACAGCCACCTCGCAAAAACTTCTGAGGTCAAGGAGATCTCGGCGTGTGCGCCGATACCTTCGACTACTACGCTGAGGCCCCTTCTGATGAAGGCTTAGGGTTTAGGGTTTAGGGTGTAGGGTTAAGGCTTTAGGGTTTAGGACTTTAGGATCTAGGATTTAGGGTGTAGGATTTAGGGTTAAGGCTGTAGGGTTTAGGGTTGAGGGTTGAGGGTTTAGGGTTTAGTGGAGCATTTTAACGTGTGGGGGGAGGGGGGGTTCCGAAAGTTAGCGTCCCTTTTTTGGGGGATTCCTTTTAGAGGGGGTTCGACTCCCACGGACTCCCCAAAGTTGTTGAGGTTTTGATTCGGGTGTTTTTCATAGGCGACCAAAAACTTGGAGAACAAACCTATAGACCCTGAGCCCCAACCCCTAAAGCCCTAAACCCTAAACCATGAGCACTAAACCCGAAAGCCATAAACCCTAAACCCTAAATCCTAAACCCCAAAATGCTAAGCCCTAAACCCTAAACCCTAACCCCTAACCCCTAAACCCTAAACCCTAAACCCTAAACCCTGAAACCGAAACCGCGCGCGGGCTTGATGGAGACCGCACGTCGGACGTCGAGGGGACCTCCAAAGCCTCTGAGTTGCTTCCTATAGCGGATGTGGCCTAGGGGTTTAGGGGTTAAGGGGGGGTTTAGGGTTTAGGGTTTAGGGTTTAGGGTTTAGGGTTTAGGGTTTAGGGTTTAGGGTTTAGGGTTTAGGGTTTAGGGTGTATATAGGGTGTGGGGTTTGGGGTTTAGGGTTTAGGGCTCAGGGTTCAGGGTTTAGGGTGTTCGGACGTATTGCTACTCTCTTTTTTGGTGAGTCTATTCATCGCTCTTTCTGAATATTCTAGGATGCCCAGTAGTACCCTTATTCCCTTTTTGGCAGGTTTAGGTTCCCTTATAAAGCCCTTTAAGCAAAAAAGGGCACCCTTTTTCATCCTAGGTTACTGGGCAACCTAGTATTCGTGAGTGTAGATATTGGGTGTCCTTTTTGGGGATTTCTGAAAGCAACTCCGTGGAACGCCTGAAAACTCAGCCCTTAAGCAGGCTGTGGATTCTTGGGTGCAAACCGGGGAGCTTTCGAACCCTAAATCCTGAACCCTAAACCCTAAACCCTAAACCTTAAACCCTAAACCCTAAACCCCAAGCCCTAAACCCTAAACCCTAAACCCTAAACTTCCTAAACTCTAGACCCTACACCCTAAACCCTAAACCCTAAACCCTAAACCCTAAACCCTAAACCCTAAACCCTAAACCCTAAACCCTGAACCCTGAACCCTGAACCCTAAACCGCATCCCAAATCTCAGGTGACGCCAAAAGAGATGCAGCCAAAGCAGTTGGCACTTCCCGAGGGCGACTCCGCCGACTTCGTTGCCAGGCCTGGTATGATCGGGCTGGAGGCTTCATGTAGGGCACGTTGGGTTGAAGGGTTTTTGTTTTACATAGGTTTTTAGGGTTTTGTTTTAGGGTTTCGGGTTTCGGGTTTCGGGTTTCGGCTTTAGGGTTTAGGGTTTAGGGTTTAGGGTTTAGGGTCCAGGGCGCCTAGGGTTTAGGGCTCTTAGGGTTTGGGGCATTTAGGGCTTGTCTGCGCATCTAGCTACTCTTACACCAGCCAAACATCACATTCACGGCAACCCTTGCTTGTCAAAACCAACAGTCACCCAGCGTTCCAGTTCACACGGCAAAAGCCACCGTGAACATGGATCCCTTTGGCATTCCTACTTGTCTGGCGCAAGCGAAGCTGGAATGACAGCGCAAACCATATCCCCCCCCCCCTTCAAAAAAAGGCCCGCTCAACCCAAACCATATCCCCTAAAAAACCCTGAAGCCCAAGATTCCAAAATCCTGCACCCAAAGATCCAGCAATCCTGCCAGGACGCAGCCTGAACCTCTTGGTGTGGTCGGGTCGGCCGAGCTCACTTCGTTGTCGAATTGTTTGGGTTCTTAAGGGGGGGGGGTGTGCAAGGGGTATGAAACCCAAGGTTCTCTACTACTCCCCACTACTCCCTGAGGCTCCCTAAGCTTCCCTAAGGTCCCCTAGGTAGCAACTTACCCCCCTTGGAACTCATTAGGGTCCTTACTATAAGTGGATCCTACTATTTTTGGGGGTCTATGGCGGGGGTTCCCTATGTTCGTAAACCCCCATATAATGTAACTTGTTGTTTTGGGATTTGGGGCTCAGGGCATCGGCAGCCGGATGATCTTGGCTTTCGGACTCTACTTGACGGGGTTTAGGGTTTAGGGCTAGGGTTTAGGCCATGGCTCTTTGTTTGCGGCTTCAAAATGTTCCAAGGGAACATAGTCACTGAACCGTATACGGAGCTGGTGATATTCATGAGATCGGCGATGACCCAAGACGAGCTTGATGCCGTTCCAGTTGCCGGGCTGGGTGGCTGGCCAGCTGGCCCTGTCAATGCTGCTGATGTGGGGTGGTGGACCAATTGGAGAGATTCTAAGTAGTAGAGTAGGTAACCTTTAACCTTTTGGGGGTAATATATTCCCCTTGTAATCCCAAAGGTTAACCTTTAAAACCCCTAGGTACTGGACAACTAAGGATTGGCTGTCATTCACAGATGAGTCAGTGGGATTTTTGGGGTGCGCTCAAGCTACCAGCGTGGGAGGCGCTTGAGGCTGCATATTCCTTTGTGAGGGTTTGGGTTTAGGGTTTAGGGTTTAGGGTTTAGGGTTTAGGGTTTAGGGTTTAGGGTTTAGGGTTTAGGGTTTAGGATTTCCGCAGCCTGGTGTCTTGGGTACTGGTGACAATGACAATTCGGAGACGACGGCTTCGCGAACGTCCGTGGAGCCTTGGAAACCTTTGAACCCTAAACCCTAAACCCTAAACCCTAAGCCCTAATCCCTAAACCCTAAACCCTAGACCCTAGACCCTAAACCCATGCCAAGGGCCTGAGCCAATAGCAGAGAACTGCCAGGCTCACTGTGGTTTGGGCTTCCCCGTCAAAGGACCACTACGTACAACGACTATCCACGAAGCACCCTAAAACCAGAAACTCTGAACCCTAAGTCGGGTTTGCGGGTTTAAAAGGTTTATAGAGTTTATAGTGTTTACAGGGTCTATAGGGTTTTCACGTTACTAGGGTGTTCAGGGTTTATCTAAGGGTAGTTGCGTGGTTCCTTAGCTTGGTGCTTTCCTTTACCTCCATGAAAGGATTCTGAAGTATGGGCCATTGGGTGTTACAGGGTATATAAGGGGTATACAAGGGGTCCTTTTTGGCGGGCGGACCATGCAACTACGCTTTACTAAACCTTAGGTCCCCACAACGGACCGCTATAATCTTTGAAGGCTCAATCCTTGACTCTAAATCCTCTATGCCTGCTTCACCCCCCCCCCCCCTCCCAACAACAAATATATACATAAATACAACAAAGAAGTGAATAACCCGTTCCAGTAAGATATAGGATACATTACTTCAAATTCGAGTTGCAGGTGCATAACACCCTGGAACTTCCCGCTGATGCAAGCGGCCAGAAGCCCAGAAGAGACAGGCAAGTACTGCACATTGCAAAAAGGCCTCCGAGAAGCCTTCCCAGAATCTCCATACCCTGCTAAACCCCCGAAGCCCCCTAAGTCTCAAGCTACGCACTCAAGTTTAAGCAAATGTGATGCCCCAAAGCCTCCGGACGCCCCCCTCCCCCCCCCGCCCCTTTTCCAGAAGCGGGCTTGGCAGCTCGTCAAACCTATAAGCCCCCAAAGCTCTAAACGGCCTACTTGGAGGTCCATGGGTAGTTAGAAGTAGGGTTTGAAGTAGGGCAGCTCTATTTCTAAGCGGTTAGAACCCTTTAGTTACATAGAACCCGACTTATATCTGCCCATGAACCTTCAAGTCGTCCCTGAACACTAAACCCGAAACCCTAAACCCTAAACCTTAAACCCTAAACCTTAAATCCTAAACCCTAAACCAGGTGCTCAAGGTCGCACCGGCCCTGGCCGCAGGCTGCGAGCAGCCTGAACTGGTTTGGGTCGAGGATTTTCGGTTGCTCTGAGGGCCCCTCAGCCCTAAACCCTACACCCTACACCCTAAACCCTCAACCCTAAAGCCACCCTAAACCCTACACCCTGAACCCTACACGGATGCTCAAATCGCCCCCCAATGCCACCTTGGCAACCCTGACGCCCGAACTCCGAACCGAAGCCTTCAGCCCTGAACCTGAAAGTCCTAACTCGCCCTAAACCCTAAACCCCAAACCCTAAACCCTAAACCCCAAACCCCAAACCCCAAACCCCAAACCCCAAAGTGTCGGAGGCTGCACCGTGGTGCTGAAGCCCTCACCCCTGGCTTCCCTCACCTGCTGTGCCCTCGGGGAAATCGTGGCGGCTGCTGGGGCGCCCCCAGGTGCAAGGCTTAGGGTTTAGGGTTTAGGGTTTAGGGTTTAGGGTTCAGGGTTTAGGGTTTAGGGTTTAGGGTTTAGGGTTTGGGGTTTAGGGTTTTGGGTTCAGGGTTTAGGATTTTGGGTTTAGGGTTTATAGGGATTGTGATGGGGAGGTTTGTGGGATTTGGGGCATTGAAATCCAAGGTCGGGCAAGAAGTCGACACACAGCAACCCCAAGGGGTGCTCGAGCCTTGCACCCCTTACGCGAGCCACCTTGAGTAGTTATGCTAGAACCCCTAATATCCACCCTAAACCCTAAACCCTACACCCTCCATAAATCACCGCCTCACGTATTGAGGGAATTGGGGATTTGCAAGTCCAGTTTGCATTTTTTGCGGCCTTCCACGAAACCCTGCGCCCTAGGTGGCTGGTCCACGAATGACCTTCCCGTATAGGAAGAACCTGGACCCGAAATTTCAAAACCCTAAGCCGTTGGCTCATGGCTGAAGGCTTGGTTCCAGTTCAAGTGCTAAACCCGAAACCCGAAACCCGAAACCCTAAACCCTAAACCTAAACCCGAAAGGTGCCTTGAATGTCATCACCGGCGGTCCGCCAGAACAGCTGCCAGGCCAGGCAGACCTCATTGGGGTCTATATAGGGTGCAGGGGGTATAGGGCTTAGGGTTGAGGGTTGGGGGTAACTCGGATGCCCCCAAATCCACACTTGTCCTCTTTTTGTTTGGACTGAGAGGTTCTTTTCATAAACGAGATTGAGCTAAGGTACCCGTTGACCCTACAAGCCAATTACCCTAAACCCTAAACCCTCAACACGTGCTCCTGAGTCCTGTGAGCCCTAAAACCGATACACACTGCAACCCGGAACCATCCTAAACCCCAAACTCCAAACACAAACCAGAAACCCTTTGCAATCCTAAACCCTAAGTCCTAAGATCTAAACCCTATAAACCCAGCCTTTTCGTGCCAGGCGCCACAAGCACGGGCCAGAGCCTCATCGACCACGACCTCCTCGACAAGGCAGCGTCCCTAGTATCTCAGACGTGCATGTTTGGGGTTTAGGGTTTAGGGTTTAGGGTTTAGGGTTTAGGGTTTAGGGTTTAGGGTTTAGGGTTTGGGGTTTAGGCTTCTAGGCTTTTAGGGTTTTAGGGTTTAGGGTTGAGGGTTCGGGGTTTGGGGTTTGCGGCTAGGGTGGTATCAGCAGCATCCTCGCCTTTGGAAAACCCAGGCCCAACCCCCTCAATCCCGAACTCTTGGCCCCCTTCTGGGCTCTGGGGTCAAACGAAAGCAGGTAGCCCTAAGCCCTAAACCCTAAATCCCCGAAGCTCATTCCCGATGTTTTGTTAACATGGAACTCGGGTTGCCAGAAGATCGCAGTGAGAGAGAAAGGTCCACTTTCAGGGCTTCGGGTTTAGGGTTTAGGGTTTTAGGGGTTTCGGACTGGTTTTATCCGAGACCCAACAAGTTTTGTACGTTACCTCAATGCCGAACAGGGCTCTTACAAGGGTGAGAATGCTAAGCTGCTTTGGGGCTAAAAGCAAAGCCCTCGGCCCTAAGCCCTCTAAACTTTCTAAACCCCAAGCCCCTCGTTAACCCCCTAAGCCGTGAACCCTAAACCCTAAACACCTAAACCCCTAAACCCTAAACCCTAAGCCCTAAACCCTAAACCCTAAACCCCTAAACCTCTAAACCCTAAACCCTAAGCCCTAAGCACCCTAAACGCCAAGCACCCTACACCAAGTGGCGGGGTTGGGCATCGCGAGGTCTCCTTTACTGGCAGCGGCATGGCCGGGCAACGGATGTTGGAGGACGATCGGTCTTATAGGGGTTTAGGGTTTAGGGTTTGGGGGATTTAGGGTTTACGGTTGCAAGGGTCCTTTCCCTGAGCCGAAAAGCCCAAAAAGCTCAAGCCTAAACCCACAAAAACCCTAACCCTAAAAACCTAAATCTTACACCCCTAAAACGCAAACCCTAAAGTCTCGACCCTAATCAAAGCCCTGAAGCTTCAAGGGTCTTTAGGGGTACGCGGCGGGTCGCTCCCGTTTTTTTGGAGCTTGCAGGTGTGTTGTAGGAAAATTTGTTTTCGCATGCTTCTTACCTAATCATGTGGGCCCTTGGGATTGTGAAAGGGTCCAGGGTTTTGGGTTTTGGGTTTACGGAATGCTTGTCAGAGATTTAAAAGGCCAACCTATCTAAGGGGTATTGGGCTCTTGGGCTATTGGGCTAGGGTAGGGTTCCCGGTTCAGCATTTTCAGGCCTTTGGGCCTTAGTTAGTATAGCCTAGGGCCTAGGATCCCTTTTTGAGATTCATGTTTTGCACCTTCTGATGTGCAAGTTTGAAAAAAAAGCCCTGTACTGCTTGGAACCTACCCTGCACCCCAAAGCCTAAACCACAAACTTTAAACTCCAAACCCTTAACCTTAACACCAATCCCTAAGCCCCAAACCCTAAACCTCAAAGCCCCAAGCCCCGGACACCACAGCGGAGTAGCTTGCGAGAAAAGAGGAAGCGAGAGAAAGGGGGAGGCAAACAAGAGAGAGAGAGAGAGAGAGGAGAGTGGGGCAGGAGGGGGGATGAATAGGCTGCGGCAGTTCCCGAGGATGTGGCAGCAACCGCAGGGAGGTGGAGAGATGCGGGAGACAGAGGAAGGGAACGAGGAGGAGCGGGAGGGCAAAGAAACAACGATGCGAGGAATGGAGGCCGGCATGGGGGACGGAGGGGGGGCGCAGTGGCCAGGCCCATCAGGGAACCTGCCGGGTGCCCGAACCATGTACACTAAGATAGCGGAATGCATCGAAAACCGTCGGATGATTGGTGATAACCAAGAAACGGGGGCTCCGGTGAAGACTTCAGCACAACCGATCGCAAACAGCATCGAAAGGATCATGCAAGAGCTCCCCCTCCCACCACGCCAAATAAACAGACCACAAAACAAGACCTAAGAGTGGGGCTTAAAATTAGGGCTTAAGGTTTAGGGTGTTTGGTTTAGGGTTTGGGTCCCTAAACCTCCCAAGAAATCCCTCTGTCCAACAACAAGAAAGGCGTCGGCTCCCAAGCTTCGGCCCACAAGCCTCGCGCTGCTCTCGGCCAAGTCGCCTTTTAGCTTTTTAGCCTTTCAGCGTTTTAGCTTTTTAGGGTTTAGGGTTTAGGGTTTAGGGTCTAGGGTCTAGGGTCTAGGGTCTAGGGTTTAGGGTTTAGGGTTTAGGGTTTAGGGTTGAGGGGCTTCATGCAATTTGGGGAAACCAGGGTTTAAAAGTTATAGGGTTCAGGGCTCAGGGACATAGGGACTTTCAGAAAACTCGGGCTACCTGCTTTGTGGGTTCCGGTCAGAAGGGTCACAGCGCTTGTTTGGGGTTATTAGCGGAAATTACCATGCAATAAAAACCCCAATGTAAACTTCTGACCAGGACCATTGACTTGGCAGCGTTGAAGGGTTGTAGCAGGAAAACCCAAACCCGACACCCTAAACCCGACACCCTAAACCCTAAACCCTAAACCCTAAACCCTACACCCTAAACCCCAAACCCTAAACCCTAAACCCCAAACCCTAAACCCCCCCCAACCAGGCCCAACCCCCCCCCCCCCCCCCCCGCCAAACCCCCCCCCAAACCCCCCCTAAACCCCCGAAACCCCCCAAACCCCGCAAACCCCGCAAACCCGCAAATCCCCTAACCCCTAAGCCCTAACTGCGAGGCTGGGGCTCTTCAAAACTAAGGATCCCCAGCTATGTCCCGTCTGTTTGGGTGCCGGGTTGTTACGGTTTAGGGTGTTTAGGGTGTTTGGGGTGTTTAGGGTTTAAAATCTGCGCCCTACACCCCTTTTGTAGGAGATGCCCTCATGTGGGCTGAGGAGTTGGGCGGGAAGTCCGCCTTTGTCATCTTCGAGGACTGCTGGCCCAGAAGGCTTAGGCTTTAGGGCTTGGAACCCTTTAAACCCTAAACCCTTTTTACCCTAAACCCTTTTTACTTAAATCCCTAAACCCTAAACCCTGAACCCTAAACCTCGGAGGTCTTGAGGCTGCAGGCAGTGGGGCCTTCCTTGCAAAGGGTGTTAGGCTTGCGGTTCAAGACATCTGCTGTTGCGGATTTCCAACTGCCTGAAACCTGACGCATTCTCAAGGACGAACAAAGCCAAAACCTGGACACGTCGAAAACAAGGAGGATGGGTACCCAGAAAGATGGCAGCGTGCGTATAAGCCTCAAGAAATGTCATAGTTAGGGGCGCTCCGGTGAAAGAATGGATATCCGGAGCAGGGTGAGAGTAGAGGAAATCAGCAGCAAGAAGGCGTTTAGGGTTTAGAGTTCAGGGTTTAGGACCCGAAAACCCCAAAACCCAAAACCCCAAAACCCCAAAACTCTATATAGTTCCTAAACCCCGCAGCTGACCCCTTTCATCCTTGGTGTTTCAACCAAACAGGATGCCGTGGACTACCTGGACGCAGTGGTTGACTGGGCAACTGCCTTAAACTCTGAACCCTATAAGCCCTAAGCCCTAAACCCTAAACCCTACACCCTAAACCCTAAACCCTACACCCTAAACCCTACACCCTAAACCCGAAACTCGAAACCCTAAACCCTACCTAAACTAACCCGCCTCCTTCAGAGCAGAACCAGCTCTTGCCAGTCCAGGGTTCAAGTCCCGGGGCCTCGGGTTTAGGGTTTAGGGTTTAGGGTTTAGGGTTTGGGGTTTGGGGTCTAGGGTATCTCCCCAAAAACATGCCCCTAAATGCCCCAAATATGATGTAATACTAACATCCTTTTAACATGCCACAAGATGAAAAACTGAGAAGGCCACTGGGATGTTGTGTGTTTTGTCCACTTTGGTGTTTAAGCGGATCATATGTAGGCATATTTTGCAGTTTAAAGAGGATCATATCTAGACATATTGTTCCAGAGAGAAAAAACTCCGAAGGGCTCCACTCCCGGCATATCACGGGATTCATTGCTTAGTGCTTCGTGTTGGGGTTTGGTTTCCCGTCTGTCCATATTGTGTTTCTATGTCCATCTTTATGTATGTATACATATGTGTCTTTAATACGTATCGATATGCTTATATGTATAAACAAATAAATATGAAAAACTGAGAAGGCCACTGGGATGTTGTGTGTTTTGTCCACTTTGGTGTTTAAGCGGATCATATGTAGGCATATTTTGCAGTTTAAAGAGGATCATATCTAGACATATTGTTCCAGAGAGAAAAAACTCCGAAGGGCTCCACTCCCGGCATATCACGGGATTCATTGCTTAGTGCTTCGTGTTGGGGTTTGGTTTCCCGTCTGTCCATATTGTGTTTCTATGTCCATCTTTATGTATGTATACATATGTGTCTTTAATACGTATCGATATGCTTATATGTATAAACAAATAAATATATATATATATATATATATATATATATATTGGTTTGTTTGTCTATACTTAGCACATGTATCGCACACATAGTTCCTGAGTTTATAATGAACCGTCAGTGCGCTTCCACATGCCTTGTGACCGTTTTTGGCATTTTTGGCAGTTAAGCAGCCAAACCTTGACCCTAAACCTACACCCTAAACCCTAAACCCCAAACCCTAGGACCCTAGGACCCTAGGACCCTAGGACCCTAGGACCCTTGGACCCTTGGACCCTTGGACCCTTGGACCCTAGGACCCTAGGACCCTAGGACCCCGGACAGGAGAGGCCCCTATTGTCCTTTTTTGAGCAAACTTAAGGCTTTTAGGGTAAAGTTTTTGTTGGGTAGCCTTGATTCGAAGCCCTAAACCCTAAACCCTAAACCCCAAACTCTAAACCCTAACTCCTTTGCCGAGGTCATGGTGGGCATCTTCCAGTGCTCTGGGCAGGTCTGCCTCGGCCTAAGCCTTGAGTTAGGCCTGGGTTTTAGGGTTTGGGGTTTAGGGTGTAGGGTTTGGGGTTTAGGGTTTGGGGTTTAGGGTTGAAGGTTTAGGGTTGAGCGTTTAGGGTTTGGGGTTTAGGGCTTAAAGTTTTGGGTTTAGGAAGTCGGGTTTAGGAAGTAGGTTTGAAGGGGTCATTGTGTTTAAGGAACTAGAGGGTTTAGGGTCAAGGGCACGGGAGGCCGCTATGCAACTACCAGCGCCAGCCCCTGCAATATAAGCTACCGGCCATACCAAACTGCAACAATTTGGATCACTAACTTCATTCGTAACCAGGTTCAGCCACAAGCCGCGTCCTCATCCACGAGAGCTTGGAGCAGGAGTTCGTCACCCGCCTTCTGGCCGCGATGAGGCCTATCTTTCCGCTAAGTCTAGGGATTAGGATTTAGGGTTTCAACCCTAAACCCTAAACATTAAGCCCTAAACCCAAATCCTGAACCGCCTAAATCTAAGGGGTTTAGGGTTTAGGGGGTTTAGGGGGTTTAGGGGGTTTAGGGGGTTTAGGGGGTTTAGGGGGTTTAGGGGGTTTAGGGGGTTTAGGGAGTTTAGGGTTTATGCAAGATGTCATCGGACGTCCCATGTGAGAAGAACGCAAGAGATCCTTAGCGAAGAAGTGAATTTTCAATTGACTGCAGAAAACTAAGAGATCACCGCCTTCGCTGCCTGTTGCGTGGGCAGTATAAATTCCACTTAGGGTTTAGGGCTTTGGGTTTACAATCCAGAACATGTACCTTGCTCTGGCGCGAGGGGCATCAAAGTTGGGCATCCGCTCGCCTCGGACACCGTGATGGGCCCGGTCGTCTCCGAGGCCTGCACCGATGTAAGGCGGTTTACCCTAAACCCTAAACCCTAAACCCTAAACAACCTTGTTTAGGGATGCGGCTTGAGGTTCGAGGGATAAGGGTTTCGTGCAAAGTTAAGGCTTCAGCAGGCTTAGAGGGTTTGGGGTTTAGGGTTTAGGGTTTGGGGTTTAGGGTTTAGGGTTTAGGGTTTAGGGTTTAGGGGCTTCTGAGGCGCAGAGACCAGGGTCGCTTCTCTAACATTTAAAGCTACTGTTTCCTGGGATCGGCACCAGGGACCGAGAGTGGGACCACAATCTGTGAGTCTACGAAAATCCGGGACCCCTAACATAGACACCCAAATAGTAGGATCCCCTTAGATTCTAATCAGGACCCCAAAGAGGTACCCCTATTTTCGGACACCCCTCACATGGAGCGTTTGGGCCTCGGACCTCTGTGGCCACCCGAGAGTCCGTGAAGACAGGAAGTTGGAGATGCTGAGCGCGCTGTGACGAAGGGCTCTTGACAAAGTAGAAGCCCCGAGGCCTGAACCCTAAACCCTGGAAAACCCCTGTAACCGGGATTCTCAGGGATACTAAGCAGACATACTAAGTCCAAAGAGCTGCTAAGTAAGCCCCCAAACCCTCATGAATCCCTGAACCTCTTAGGATCTACATGGTCCTTAATATGGGCCCTTCATTGGGGACCCCCTGATATAGGCCCTTACATACCCTCCTAAAACCCAAAAACCCATACCTCCAGGCTGTACTTCCAGAGCCCTTTAAAGCAGGTAAGGGACCATACGAAGGGGACCATGAAACTGCTGGGACTTCCTTTTTTTAGGGCTGGGGTTCCCTTAGAATCCTCTTGACCAAAAGGGCACCCTTTTTATTCATAGGTTACTCCTGGGTTTAGGGTTTAGGGTTTAGGGTTCAGGGTTTAGGGTTTAGGGGGTCTTGACTACCCTTCTAGAGCCATTAAAACCCTAAACATCTGAACCCTTTAGCCGCGAGTATCTGAGCCCGACAGGGGCAGATGCAAAAGGTGCAGGGCATGATCGATCAGGCACCCAGCCCTCGCGCGCACCTTTTTTTGGGGGGTTGTCCCTAAACCCTAAACCCTAAACCCTAAACCCTAAACCCTATACCCTAAACCCTAAACCCTCTTGGGGGCCTTCGTGGTGAAGAGGCTTCGGGGTGAAGGGCTCTGAGGTTTATGGCTGCCTTCCGCAGAGGTCTTGGGGGGCTTCAAAGGGTTTAGGGGTTAGAGGGTTTAGGGGCTAAGGATTTGGGTTCAGGGTTGAGTGTTTAGAGTTTAGGGTTTAGGGTTAATTAGAGTTTAGTGGGCTCAAGGGCGTGTAAGGCATTTTGACGTTTGGACTTTGAGGCGTCGGACTTTCAGAAGGGCATGTGCAAAAAAAATCGCCGCTGTCCTGTGAACGAAACCCGAAGCCCGAAACCCTGAACCCTAAACCCTAAACCCTAAACATGTTAGGATGGGCTTCTGTTGAGGTTGACAGATAGACCTGCCTACGTGCCCAACCACCCGAAGGCTCCTCAACACCTCTTTTGGGTGGGTCTTTCCGAAATGGGCTAGGTACCCTTTGTGGTAGGGTTCCTATACTAAGGATTAACGTGTGTTGGGGCATGCTTGGGGTACCCCTTTGTGGGGAAGTATCCCTAAACCCTAAACCCTGGACCCTAGACCCTAGACCCTGCCTTTCCTTGGCAGGCCAAGGCCGATGGGACGAAGGTGCACTCCCTGGACATGCAGATCCCTGCAGACCTTGCGCAAGGCTTCCAGGGACATTGCGCAGGGTCGCTTTGGGTGTAGGGTTTAGGGTTTAGGGTTTCGGGTTCAGGGCAAAGGGCTTAGGGCTTAGGGCTTAGGGCTTAGGGCTTAGGGCTTAGGGCTTAGGGCTTAGGGCTTAGGGTTTCGGGTTTGGGGTTTAGGGTTTGGCCTTTCAGGGGTTGGGACTTCGAAATCACCGTTTGCAGTCTAGGGTTTGGAGGGTCAGTCCGGCATGTCTGGATTGTCGTGTAGCATTTCCACGGCGCGATTCCTCGATCAGTTGCGGCTGGTGAAGGATTTGGCAATAGAGTTTAGATTGTTTTTTGGTTACTCGGATAGAGCGACTTTATATCTTCTTGTCAACGGCAATTTTTTAAAAAAGTCTGAGACCTTGAGGCCCTAATCCATGGACCCTGGACCTCCCAAAACCCTGAACCTTGGGTTCAGGGTTCAGGGTTCATAGGGTTTAGGGTTTAGGGTTTAGGGGAACTGTTAGAGGGAACTGCCTGGCTCTCGGCGTGTTGGAGGCTACTACGTGTCACCCACCGTCCTCTCCGACCTGCCCATGGCTCAGCTGAAGCGTCGCTGCCTGCGCGCGCGCGCGCGCGCGCCTGAATGTCATAAGCTAAGAAACCCGAGGCTTCATCTAGCTCATCTGCTTTAGAGTGGCCTCCCCCTTCAGACCTAAACCCTATACCCTAAACCGTATACGCTAAACCCTAAACCTTAAACCCTAAACCCTTTCGGGGGAAGCTTGGGTTCGAAAAGTTCAGCCGGGCGTGCGGCCGAGCCGTTCAGGATCGGGTTCGGGTTCGTTAGAATCTAAAGGGCAGTTACATGGGCCCTTAATGTGGCCCCTAACCTCCTTTAACGGGTTCTGCAGCAGGGGTCCTTGGGTTTTATAGGGTAAATGAGCGGCATACATGAGGGCTACTCTTTCACGGGCCCATACCCTAAAAGGCCCTAAAAGGCCCTAAAAGGCCCCCAAAGGCCCCAAAAGGCCCTGCTCCTGAGGCCACTGGAGTCGGCCGCCTGGAAGCAGGAGATCTTTGGCCCAGTCTTGGCCATAAGGCACCGGGCACTGCGCTTTGGGATGTGGGCTTTTAGGGCTTACGGGGGTTTAGGGTTTAGGGTTTAGCTCAGGGTTCAGGGTTTAGGGTTTAGGGTTTAGGGTTCAGGTGTCAGGTGTCAGGGGTTGAGGTTTTGGGATGCGGGGCTTGAGGGCAAAGTTCGGGCCGGGGGGGGGGGGGGGGGGGGGGGAGTGAGGGTTTACGAAGACGGCCTGCATCCACATTGCACACCCTGTCATTTGGCAACCTTAAGCTACAATGATGCTGCCAACAAAAAGGGGAGAACATCCCAACCCTAAACCCTAAACCCCAAGGCCCGAACAACCCTAAACCCGAAACCCGAAACCCTAAACCCTAAACCCTCACTTTCGTGTTTAGGGTTTAGGGTTTTCGGGTTTTAGGATGTAGGGTTTAGGGTCTAGGGTCTAGGGTTCAGGGCAACTTGAGGGGGCTTAGGGGCTTGAGGAGCTTCTGTTGGGATTTTGAGGCTGAAGAGTCCACTTTGGAGGCGTTTCCAGGTTCACCCTCAACCCTTTTACAAGTGCTATTTAGGGTTTAGCGTTTAGGGTTTATAGGGTTTAGGGATTTAGGGTTTAGGGTTTATTAGGGATTAGGGACAAGGGTTTAGGGAACCCAGAGGTTGGTAGTGACACTTGGACTTTGGTACCCAAAAACCATACTACAAAGGGTTTTGAGGTACCTAAGTCCATTAATTAGGGTTTTTGGGGTACCAAAGCCCATGTACGAATGGACCCTTGGGGAACTCTAAGGCCGTAAACCCTAAGCCCAAAAGTGCCGTGACGTCAATACTTCTTATAGCTTCGGGTCTTTTTATGGCGCCGTCAGGTCCTTCCGCTCAGAGGAGGAGGCATGGGAGAAGCAAGTAGGGTTTAGGGTTTAGGGTTTCGGGTTGAAGGCTTAGGGTTGAACTCCTTAAGGGCTGAAGGATTGAAGTGCTTGGGGGCTTGAAGGGCCCCCAAGGTTTGGGGGGTTCAAGGGTTTAAGGTTTTAGGGGTTGAGCTCTTTAAGGCTTTAAGGGGTGAAGGGTTGAAGGGGGTCAAAGGTTGGGCTTAAGGGTTTGGGGGTTTTAACCCCGGAGTCAAGTTCATGCGACGCCGCTGGTAACCGGTACTGTACACATCGTGTGCAGTGGTTTATTGTACTACACGCATTGTTCAAGGTCTGGGAGATATCACCGAAGCCCTCACTTTGCTGCCGGAAAAACAGGAATCTTAATTAAGTGCAGCAATGCACTTACACAGACCCCCAAAGCTCCAGATAAGCCATGAAAGCGCCCAGCCCTAAAACCCGAAACCCTGAGGACCTGAAACCCGCCAAACCCTAAAGCCCTAAAACCCAAATATCCTCCTAAGACCCTGAAACCCCAAAGGCCACAAACCCTGAAACCCCTAAACTCTAACACCCCCAAACCCTGAAACCCTAAAACCCCAAACCCTAAAAATATACCTGAAACCCTAAGCCCCTAATGCCCTGAAACTCGGAAACCCTACAAGGGCCAAATAAACCCTTTTCGCCTAAACCCTGCACCCTAAACCCTAAACCCTAAACCCCTGAAACCCTAAAACCCTGCAAGGGCCAAATCCTTGGGAGGCCGTGCAGCTGGCGAACGACACCCCGTACGGCCTCGCAAATGCAGCCGGGGAACTCGGGCCCAGCAGTTTAGGGTGTAGGGTTTAGGGTTTAGGATTTAGGGATTAGGGTTTAGGATTAGGGCGTAGGGTTTAGGATTTAGGATTCAGGGTTTAGGGTTTAGGATTAGGGCGTAGGGTTTAGGATTTAGGATTCAGGGTTTAGGGTTTAGGATTCGGGCGTAGGGCTTAGGGCTTAGGGTTTAGGGCTTAGGGCGTAGGGCTTACGGCTTAGGGCTTAGCGTTTTTAGGGCACTAGGGCATTAGGGCACTAGGCTCCAGGCCTTGATGGCCCCCTCCCCCTCCCGGCAACCCCACGGCTCTTAAGGCACCACACCCGGACCCAAACCTCTAAGACCCCTAAACCCTAAAACCTACACCCTAAACCCTAAACCCTAAACCCTAAACCCTAAACCCTAAACCCTAAACCCTAAACCCCCTGCAATCCCAAAGACCCTAACCTCAACAAACTGAATTCACAAGTCAGCCAAACCCCAGAACAAATCTCAAACCTCTGCAGCAAAATCCTCCGAGCCTTGGGCTGGTGAACCCCCAGATCCTGACACCTATAAACCCTAAACCCTAAACCCTAAACCCGAAACCCTAAACCCTAAACCCTAAACCCAAGTCCCAATGATACGAATGCGCTAGGAGTTCTAGGGTTCCCTTTGGGCCAGAAGTCCAAAGACCCCTTGAATTCCTAGAAGCGTCCAGGGGTTTGGGGGTTGAGGGGTTCAGGGTTGAGGGTTTAGGGTTTAGGGGTTTAGGGCTTAGGTTTAGGGTTTAGCGTTTAGGGCTTAGGGGTTCAGGGGTTTTGGGGTTCTGGGGTTTTGCTTTGAGGGCATTTTCAAGGGCGTCGGGTGTCCGCAGAAGCCCAGTGGTATATAGCGGGGTGGGGGCGCACTGGCCTGATGTTTCGGCGGAACTTTTTACTGCCACACCTAGCGTGATACCTCGTCTATACCTGTAGCCATTTGTTCTGCTTTCCTTAGTTATTCCCTCAAACAGGTAGGTCTCTTGGGCTACAGGTAGGGTTTAGGGTTTAGGGTCTAGGGGTTTAGGGTTTGGGGTTTAGGGTTTGGGGCTTGGGGTTTAGGTCCCATCCGACGGCAGGTGTACTCTGCGGACGCTGAGAGACTTGGGCGAGTGGCCTCGCAGCTGAAATCTGGCATCGTTTGGGAGAACTGCTCGCAGGCCCCGGCTGGTTTAGGGTTTAGGGTTTAGGGTTTAGGGTTTAGGGTTTAGGGTTTAGGGTTTAGGGTTTAGGGTTTAGGGTATAGGGTTTAGGGTTTAGGGTTTAGGGTTTAGGGTTCAGGGTTCAGGGTTCAGGGTTCAGGGTTCAGGGTTCAGGGTTCAGGGTTCAGGGTTTAGGCTGCTGGCTCTTGGGGGAGGGTCCTACATGGGGGGTGGTTGTCGGGGTTCCTGTTGAGGTATTGCATGATACAATTTACCTACGCCAAGTTCGAACAACCTCCATCTACAGGGCCCAGAGCCCGAAGCTGTACAACTGAGGGTCACTCGGTCCCCTCAACAGGTGGCGAAGCGCCATTCCCGTGGTTGTGCGGGATACCCTGCACCCGGAAACCCTGCTATGCCCTGAACCCTCAACCCTAAGCCCCAAACCCTAAACCCCAAACCCTAAACCCTAAACCCAAACCCCAAACCCTCAACCCTAAACCCTAAACCCTCAACCCCCTGGCACCCTCAGCCTTCCTCCCGAAACCCGAACTCCAGCAGGTCCTTTTCCCATCGACTCCTTTTGGCGGCAAGAAGGCTGGCTCTTGGTTTTCTTTCAAGGAGGGGTTACGGGTTAGGGTTTAGGGTTTAGGGTTTAGGGTTTAGGGTTTAGGGTTTAGGGTTAGGGTTTAGGGTTTAGGGTTTAGGGTTTAGGGTTTAGGGTTTAGGGTTTAGGGTTTAGGGTTTAGGGATTACGTAGGCTTTAGGGTGTAGGGTTTAGGGTTTAGGGGTGTAGGGATGAGAGCCCTGGGCCCTGCACCCACAACCTGGGCACTAAACCCTCGAGTCCAAACAGCTCTGAGCACCCAGAACCTGTTTGTTTAGGGTTTAGGGTCTCAGGGGTTTAGGGTTTTAGGGTTTAGGGTTTAGGGTTTAGGGTTTAGGGTTTTAGGGTTTAGGGCTTAGGGTTTGAACCCCCAAGCTCTCCATCTCGGGTCATATCAAACCCCTTTTGCGGCTCTTCGGCAACCTACCCAAAAAAATGGGGTTATTGGGCTCCCACGGAAAAAGACCTCACACCCTCAACCCTAAGCCATCCGAGCGGGTTCAGGGCCTGTGTGGCCTGATGACTTGAGCCATGGCAGTTGTGATGCTGTTCTTCGGCGGCAGCTGTAAGCAGCCAAACCCTAAACCCTGAGCCCTAAACCCTAGTCCCTGCACCCCTAAACCCGAAACCGGAGACCCTAAACCCTAAACCCTAAAACCTAAACCCCAAACCCTAAACCCTAAACCCTAAACCCTAAACCGTAAACCCTAAACCTTAAACCCTAAACCCCATCCCTCAAGGGAAAAGCCAGCGGCTTCGGCTTCGAGCAGGGCTTGCCTGGCCTCAAGGAGTCCGGGCCTGAAGCTTATCAGAGAACCCCTAAACCCTAAACCCTAAACCCTAAACCCTAAACCCTAAACCCTAAACCCTAAACCCTAAACCCTAAACCCTAAACCCTGAACGTCTGCGGGAGACGAGGTGCAAGGATGGGCGCTGTGAGTTTTGGGTTTAGGGTTTAGGATTTTCTTTAGGGTTTCGGGTGCACCTCATGTTATCTCATTGTAACCTGGTACCTGGGCGTTGTGGTTGACGTTTGCATTGACCAAGGCCTTAAACCCCTCAACCCACTGATGAGAAGCTCTCATGCCTACGCCCGAAATTCCGACATGCTCTTCAACCCCAGCAAAAGATCCCAAAGCCTTAGCCCTAAACCCTAAACCCTGAACCCTGAACCCTAAACCCTAAACCCTAAACCCTAAACCCTAAACCCTAAACCCTACACCACCTTCTCTACAATCTTTGCGGGACAGTGAGCCCGCCATAACGAACAGTGCGAGGTTCTTGGCAGAAAAGACGGTCGTCGGCACCAGCAGGACCCGCACATATCTTCATCAGCCATGGAAGAACCAAACCCGTGAAGCCCGCACCCCCCAGGGCCCCATCATTCTAAACCACAAACCCCAAACCGTAAGCTCTTAACCCTTTTAAATTAATCAAAGCAACTACCAAGTACCTGTGATGCCTTAAATGATCACCCCCCCACTCGTAAAGGCAAGTACCCCTGGAAATCAAATCGCCTAAACTGACGGGCTCCTTTTATGGGCGGAACTGAAAGGTTTAAGGTTTAGGGTTTTGGGTTTAGGCTGTGAGGTACCCACTTCCCTACTAAGAAGGAGTAGCTAATCCCCAAACCCCTAAACCCCAGCCCAGAAACCCAGAATCTAGGGACAATGAGTTCAACCTCCGGAGAGATCCTTACCTTGGGATGTTCCCCCTTATAGGAACCGTCCTTAGTAGGGATTTTAGTAAGGGGTATTAGAATCCCTATTGAGGACTGTTAGTATAAGGGGGAACATCCCAATCCTTGCCCTAAACCGTAAGTTTAGCCTATAGCATAAGCCTTAGACCAGATGAGGGTTTGGGTAAGCCTTAAACCAGATGAGGGTTACCGGAGGCCGATATCCAGATGAGGGTTTGGGTGATTTGGTTTAGGGTTTGGGGTTTGCCCTTGGCTTTTGGAGCCCGGAAATCGAGGCTTTCGGCAGAACCGTCAGTTGTTTTGGGAGTTTGGCTTTCAGCACAATTCTGCTTTTCTGGGTTGTGTAGGGGTTTTAGGGGCATTTTGGGTCGGTTGTGTGGGCACTCTACTGCCACAATCCGTCAGTCATACCAGACAGGATTACAGGGTAGGTACCTAGGGAACCTGGCTCCGAAGCTTGGGTGGGGGTTCTTTTTGGGTATATTTTTTTGGTTTTTTCTGGGTGTTTTTTTGGGTTTTCTCAACCTAAAACCCTAAAACCCTAAAACCCTAAAACCCTAAAACCCTAAAACCCTAAAACCCTAAAACCCTAAAACCCTAAAACCCTAAAACCCTAAAACCCTAAACCCTAAAACCCTAAAACCCTAAAACCCTAAAACCCTAAAACCCTAAAACCCTAAAACCCTAAAACCCTAACACCCTAACACCCTAAAACCCTAAATCCCTAAATCCCTAAATCCCTAAATCCCTAAATCCCTAAACCCCTAAACCCCTAATTAAACCCTAAACCCTAGCCCCTAACCCCTAAACCCTAAACCCTAAACCCAAAAGCATACCCTAAACCCAAAAACATACCCAAAAAAAACCCAAAAAAACACCCAAAAAAACCTGGCTCCGAAGCTTAGGGAGGCTTAGGGAGTAGCGGGGAGTGTTAGGGAGCCTTGGGTACATACCCCCCTTGAACCCCCCTCCCTTAAGCACCCTTTCGCAGAAGCGCAACGCTTGTTCTTGTGCCTTTTGCACAGGCCCAGCTACAACTGGCAGATCTACAAGAAGGCTTAAGACCCCTAAGCCTCGAATCCCAATCGCTTGGACTCCCCCCCCCCCCCCCCCCCCCCGCGCCCTAACTGATGGCGCCAGCAGCGGCCTCAGACACAGAAAGGTGAACAAAAGGGGAGCTGTCACTGTGCCTTGATGGTGAGACAACCCGAAACCCCAAGCCCTAAACCCTAAACCCTAAACCCTAAACCCTCAAGGCTAAACCCTAAACCCTAAACCCTAAACCCTAAACCCTAAACCCTAAACCCTAAACCCTACACCGAGGGGTAGTGTTCAGGGCAGTTTGTGGTTTGGCCGAGGCCATTCAGGTGCTTTCGCGTGAGGGCGCGATGGAAGCCTGAATCTCATGTGCAGGACAGGTTCTCAATCAGGGTCCCTTTGGGAGGAGTTCTTCTGGTTTAGGGTTAACCGGGTTATGGCTTTAGGGGGTTTAGGGTTGGGAGGAGTTCTGCTGTCAGAGGAATGTGTTATATGAAGTGTACCTAGCAAAGGGACCTTGGAGCAAAGCCCTGATGGGTCGAACAATTTGGATTGATTTTGCGGGGGAAGAAAGGCCGAGTCAGGGGCTCGACTTGGCATTGGTGCACTCTTCAATAGCAGACCTTAAACTTTGTGGCGCTTTACTGTGATTTTTACATCTTTAGCCTTTTTGGGTTTATTGGGTTTCTTAATAAGGCAGCTTAAAATTAAAATTTATAGCTACCCTGCTAAGAGCAGCCAAGTAAACCCTAAACCCTAAGTTGTAAACCCTTCACCCTCCAACATCATGGCTACTCGAGGCTTTCATGGGTTGCTGAAATGTGGGATGAATGCACCATAATCAGGGTTCTGAATACCTTGGCCTATCCAGTACCCACCCGAACCTTCAAGTAGTTTCCACATCTGATATAGACTCAAGTTCCCGTGGGGTCTGTTCCGCATTACCGGCTGATTGGGACCCTCAATAAGGGAGTGAGAACCGAAGTTAGTACGAATAGCCCAACGTAGGGCCTTATCTTTTGAAAATAACTAGGGACATGAACCATGTCCCTTTGCCCTTTAGATCCTGTACCAGTACCAGAAATCTGAGTTTGATTCTCCCCTGTCTGTTGCGTTGCCCAGAGGCAGATAGGTGTTGTTGAGGCGGCTGCCCCTTGTAGGTTGACCGTATGCGTTTTTAGAGTTTAGGGTATGGGCACACCCACCCACACTTGTGAGTGACCTGTGCCACACAGCATGGCCAGACTAAACTAGAACTCCGCAGCTGTCTTTTTCAAAGAGAAAGTTATGTCATGCGGCCGTTTGGTGTGGCATGAAGACGAAGCCGAGCCAGGAGCCTGAACCCCAAGCCCCCAGCACCCAGAAACCCTAAACCCCTAACCCCTAAACTCCAAACCCTAAACCCCGAACCCTAACCCCCCGAACCTTAAGCCCTTAACCCCGAAACCCTAAACCCTAAACCCCAAACCCTGAACCCTGAACCCTGAACCCTAATGCGCTTTGCATGGTGATCGCGTGTTGGCCCGTGGCCCGCGATGCAAGGGGAGGCCACCAGCGAGGACACCGAAGACTCTGAACCTGCTTCCCTATAGCTGAAGAATTCGACAAGCAGGGCTCAGGGTCTATGGGGTTTAGGGTTTAGGGTTTAGGGTTTAGAAGGGTTTAGGTTTCGGGTTTAGAGTTTAGGGAACTAATATCAGCCCTAAATCAGAATGAGCCCATTCAAAGACCCCAATGCCCAGCTTCATCCTCGGTCTTTCCCGAACGCTCCGTTTTTTTTCACCATTTTGCCCGGCTAAACCTTTGGGCGCTTATTCCCGCAGTTTGTAGGAGTGAAGTTATATGCACCATACAGATTGCTTAACTTACAAGATCGCTCCCGCAGCGCGCTTGGGCTTCTTTTTTGAGAGAAAGGATCCGCTATTAAGCTGAGTTTGGTAGCGGGGCTTCGGCTCCGAAAACCGCGCCATACCAGCTGCGCTGCGGCTGCCTCTGAGGAGGCTGCTGGCTTCGGCCAGCCGGCGATCGAGGACCACGACGGTTACGCGATCCTGCCGAACCACGACAAGTTTCACTTGGCACGGCCCGACGGCCGCACTCTTAGTCCTTCTGGGCTTTGGAGGTGCGACTTCGTTGGGTTGGCTGTCTGTGGCTGAGCAGAACAAGGCCTTCCGAAGAGAAGGCTGCAACTGCTTTAGTAAGTCCTTTGGCAGCTGGAATTCGAGATTCACAGGCGCGGCCAAGGCGATCCAGGAGGTGCAGTACCAGGACTTGTTCCCGAACTACCAGGACGACGACAATTTCTTCGGCATGGCCTCTTCGGCTTCTCCCGGTTCGGGAATTCCGCTACATGAGTATCGTCGAGATGTTCCACCTGGTTGGGGGCCCAATATCCCCGACTACCCGTTGAAGACTTACTTCGACAGATTGAAGATGTGGTACAGGCTGTATGATGGGCCAGATGAGACCGTGGGCCCTCTGGTTGCCGGCCGTCTGGTCGGCCGCGCTCAGAAGCTAGCGCTTCAGTTGAGGTTGCCGAGACCTGATGGACAAGTTGACGTGGGCTCCGATGCGCTGGTGAGGCTGTCGGTGGAAGAAGTACGAGACCCCAGCAATCCAAGCGTCATATTGCAACAGTCGATCATCAGTGGCATCCAGGCCCTTTGCAACAAGCTCCGAGAGACCTTCGGCAACACGGAGCAAGAGTTGGCGAGTCGATCGCTGGAGGCATTCTTCGAGATTCGCCGAGGCAAGATGACGCTGCAAGAGTATGCAGTGGAGTTCGACTCCCGTTTGGAGGAGGCAAATGACAAAGCCGGCCTGGAGATGAACGCGGTGGCTTTGTTCTACCTCTTCTTTAAGAACAGTGGCTTGCCGGCGAAGCTGATCGAGGACATCAAGCTGCAATGCCATGGAGACCTTCGGAGATACCAGGATGCTCGCAACTTGGCTCTTCGTTTGAACAACCGTAGCGAGAGTGGCGAAGGCTACTACCAGGACGATGGTTCCCCTTCCTCTGCTGCGAGAAGAAGCCAGGAGTTCACCGAAGATGGTTGGTGGACGAGCGACGTCTGGAGCGCTGCTGGTGACTTCTACCAGGGCGACGAGTTCGAGGATGCATGGTCTTCATGGTACGGCGACGAGGAGTACTACGATGCCTATGACGAGCGCGAGGACAGCTGGCATGAAGATGACTGGCTCGGGCCGGAAGATGAACCTCTACCAGTTGGTGAAGATGACGACCAAGGCAGCTATCCGGTCAAAGGCGGCAAGAAGGGCAACGCGATGGGTGTTGGATGTTCCGTGTGCGGATCAAAGTGGCACCATGCTTCTGCGTGCCCGGTGAACACCTCCAAGGGCCGTCCGGGCGCCTGGGGCTCTGACCGTCCGAAAGGAAAAGGCTATGGCGGCGGCAAGCCGTCGTACAAGGGCCGTCCAAAAGGCTACAGCGGAAGCAAGGGCGGCGGCAAACGCTATGGCTTCCGTGACTTCCAGGACTACGTCAAGGGCAAGAAAGCAGGCAAAGGCCGTGGCAAAGGACGGAGATATTATTCAGAGTACCCGGAGGAGAACTACTTCCAGCAGCAGAAGACCTTGGTGAGCCATTTCGGAACAGACTTCTTCTCGCCAGGCATTCAGAGAACTCCTCCACGACCGCAGCAGTTCGACCTGACGCAGAACGACGAGCTCACGGAGGAGTTCTTCACGAAGAAGAAGGTGCAGTTCGACGAGACCGCGGAGGAGCAACAACTTTCTCCAGATGAAGGAACAGATGCCCCTAAGACCGAGCCGGTGGTCAAGAATCTTCACTTCCCTGTGTCGCTCTACGCCGAGAGAGAGTGCTTCCACATGATCGGTGGTGAAAAGAGGCGTGGTCTCCTAGTGGACCCAGGGGCCAGCAACGGGCTCATCGGCTCCGAGACGCTGCGGGACATGATGGAGCACTGCTTGGAAGGGCCAGGGCACGAAGCAGTGAAGTGGACGTCAAAGACCACGAGTGTGTCAGGCATCTCCGGAGGCAAGGACACAACCTTGGGGGAAATCACTCTCCCCGTCTGCTTCGGGCCCGGCAAGGGCACATACACTGCAGATGTGCTAGGCGGCGAGGGCTCCCTCTGCCCAGCATTGTTGTCGAACCCTGCTCTGAGACAGATGAGCTCCGTGATCTTCACCAACTTCTTCGAGAACGGTGACGGCCTTATGGCGTGCCACACGGATGGCGTCAAGGTGAAGGGTGCCCCACGGAATTGGATCACTTTTCGGCTCCTGCTCACAGATTCAGGCCATTATCTCTTAGCAGTGGACAAGGATGCCCAGTCTCCATCCAAGGAGGCGGACAGGAAGGCAGTGAGCTTCTTGCAGTCGGCCGTTTCTTCGGCTGGAGAAAAATGGCATGATGTGCGGCATTGCTTCTTTGGTATGAACGGCGCACGCGAGACTGAGCATGAGCGGAGTGAAGCATATGCGTCAAATCACCAGGTTCATCGTGATCGCTCAGAACCTTCAAATCACCGTGTCCCTCGTGATCCACCAGAACCTCTAGGCCATTGTGTACCACGAGAGCAATGCAAGTCCCCAGGAGTACCAGAAACAAAGATCAGCGATCCAGGCGAAGATTGTCGTGACCCCCTCAGACCAGTCAAAGGCATCTACCTGTTGGCCAAAGATGATCCTCTACGGCAAGACAGTCCCACGGACGAATGGACTCTCTTTGGCGACGAGTTGACGCGACACCACAAGGTGCCAAGAAGGACGCTGTTTACCCCGGCGTGCGTGCAAGATTGTCCTGTTTCTCCAGAGCTGTTGTCCGACAAGAGAGTTTGCGTGGTGCACAGAGCAGGCACCAAGAAAGTTTGGCGTGACAATTGGCGATCTGTTCAGCATCCGCACAAGGACATTGATGAGTTGTGGACAGGCGAGACAAAGTTCTGGTTAAAGAAGGACGAGAACAAGGACAATGACGGCGAGGCCACCGACGACGCTTCCAGGTCTTTCATGGAGAAGGACTTTGACGTGTACACCGGTGACGTTTTTCCTGAGCACTGGAATGATGGTGAAAAGAAGCGCTATTCAAAGCGATATGCCGCCATGAAAGAGGAGTACTACACGAAAACAGGCAGAAAGCCGATCACTCCGGGCAATTTCAAGAAATGGTTCGCTCGCTCCAAGGGACAGGGCCTTCGTTGGCACTTCCAAGAACTGTGTTCTGGCAGCGGCCGCCTAAGTTGGGTGGCAGTTCTGTCTGGCCTGCTGGTTGGCTTCCCGGTGGACTATCGCTATGGATGGGACATGAGTTTGCCAGAGCACCAGCAGATGATTGGGCAAGCGCGAGCAGAATTTCTTCCGATGTACCTGCATGCCTCGCCAACATGCGCGCCTTGGTCGGTGTCGTCGGCATCCAAAGACCCTCAGGCGCGGAAACTGGAACGTCAACAAGAGGAACCCGCGCTGCAGTTCATCCGAGAACAATGCGAACGCCAGGTCATGGCTGATCTGGGTTTCGGTGTCGAGCAGCCAATATCCACTGCAATGTTCAAGGACAAGGATAGCCCTCTACGAGACCTAGAACGTGCAGTCGGTGTGCGGAAAAGACAACAGGTGGACCAATGTGCTCATGGATGCTGTGATGAGAATGGCATTCCTGTGAAGAAGTCCACCGTCATCGTCGGCACGGTCAAGATGAACAATACCGCGAAGAGATGCAATGGACACAAGGGGCAAGCGCACGCAGTTCTGCAAGGGCAGTACAAGGGGGTGGACAGAACTTCGCGGGCAGCGGTCTTTCCAATGAGGATGTGCCGAGCCATCGTGGATGATGTCTGGCGCTTCGTGCGAGCTGCAGGATGTCAATTTCGACAGTGGCCCGCGAGTTTGGTCTTGACTTCATTGACGTTCTATGAGTGCGAGCGTTGCCAGTTCGGCAGGGGCGCGCTGCCGTGGATGGAGCACACACTCATTCCAGGTCAGTGCAGATATGGCCGTCGTCCTCCAGGAGAACGGCGAGAACCTCTTGTTCAACAGGATCCCCTGTCCAAGTTCAAGAAGCAGGCCCGGGAAAAGGACATGTCAGATGTGGCTTTGGCGCTACCAGTTGACATCACCCTGGACGTGCCGGCAACGCTGTACTTGAAGTTCTCCCTTTTCCGATTGGTGCAGGACTGCCTGGCTTTGTTCTCAGAAGCAATGGATAGAGGAGTGGACTACATCCACTGGGTGACAGACCCGATCCTGAAAGCCATGTTCAAGAACATCTTCCGGAACGAGATGAGACTGGCCGCTCTTGCTTGCTCTCTGCGGCCGTGGCACATGTTGACCCCAGAGGCGCGCATAACGATGAAGGCAGCGCCGCTTCGGCTCCAAATTTGGGGAAACGTGAAGGATTGGAAGGTGTTCGAGTTGGAAGACCTGCGAGAAATGTCGCACTCGCAACAACGTCAGCCTATCGATGAGGCAGATTGGGTCATCACTCTGTTCGGGGCGGCTAAGGACGAGCCAGAACCGTCGTCATCCTCTGCAGCTGCCGGCCCGGAGCAGGTGGCGCCGGCTACTCCTTCCAAGGCTGGCCACAGACCAGGTGCTCCTCCTCCGGATCGGGATCTTCCTGCTCCAGCATCAAAAGATCGTGTGCCTGAAGACTCAGAAGAGATTGAAGTGGAAGATGAAACTTTTGAAAGTTCCCCGGAGAGGCCCATCACTCCTCTCTACTCCTTTCGGAAGGTCTTCCAGCGGCTGCTTCGGACCGCGGAGTCAGAACCGACGACCGCGAAGAGGTTGCTGTTAGGGCTGCATGAGCGATTTTATCATGCGCCCGTGGGCGATCTTCGAAACTTGTTGGCTCGCTGTGGAATGCCGGCGGCAGTGCTGAATCTGACAAGTGAAGCAGTGAAGCACTGCTCTGTGTGCAGGAAATTCGTTCGTCTTCCGAACAGACCTCAGGTGAAGATTGGCAATGCCACCACGTTCAATGAACGAGTCCAGATGGATTTCTTCCAGTATGCTGGTCAATGGGTTTGTCTCCTTGTCGATGAGGCCACTCGGTACAAGATCGCGTACAAGATCGCGGACCGAAGCTGGAAGGAGATATCACGGATGCTGCTAACCACATGGATGATGTATTTCGGGCCGCCTGCGAAGCTGATTGCAGATCAGGAAAGCTCGGTGATGTCGCACGAGGCAAGCGCAGACATGGAGCGCTTCAGCATCATCCGTTGTCCTAAGGGAACGACAAGTGGCGCAGCAGGAAAACAGCACACAGGGACTGGTTTGGTGGAGCGCCATGTGGCTCTCACGGAGATCACCATGAGGAAGCTGGCGTGTGAACTCAATCGTCAAGGCCTACACGCAGAGGTGGACGAGCTGGCTCGTGAAAGTGCCATGGCTCAGAACTTAACGCTCAACTTCGGAGGTGCGACTCCTGCAATGGCAGTGTTTGGGGTGCTCCCTCGTCCTTTCTATGACTTTGCGTCCGACTCCGTCATGGGCGAAGCAGGAGCACTGCAAACCGACATCTCGCAGTTTGAAAGAGCGCTTCGAGTACGTCAAACAGCTATGGCAAGCATTCAGCAAGCCATCTCCGAAGATCGTGTTGCCCGCGCAAACAGGACGCGCACACACCAGCTGGATCTGAGCACCCTCACGCCAGGCACGACACAAGTCGATTTGTTTCGAGAAGTTCAAGGCGATGTGGGCTGGCGTGGTCCGGCGGAGTTGCTAAAGATCGACGCCTCGGAGGGCACAGCAATCGTTGAGTATCAAGGCAAGCCTTACCTCGTGAGTCTTCGACATCTTCGCCCTCATGTGGCGACAAGCTTCGCTGTCTTCCCCTCGGAGGTGCAAGAGGCGATCACTGAGCTCCGCCGAATCACAGAAGAACACCGGCCATACAAGGTGTCAACCGTTGGCTGGGTCATGGACAGAAGTCCCACATCTACGGCTTGGCGACGAGCGTCCTCAGTGTTTCCGCAGTACGATGACATCATGGACAAGGCCCGGACGATTGCCAGCCACTTCAACACTCGACCCTTTGGAGGCGTTGCTTTTGGTCAGGGCATTCGACATTATCGACCACCTCCTCACAGCATTGGTGTGCTTCTCCTCTGGTCCCTGGGCGCAGAGCAGTATGCGTCTCAGGAACACTGGTCTTCTGCAAACATCAAGCTGAAGAGCTTGGCGCCAATTCCAGAGGATGACCTGTGCTTTCTGTACTTCTTCTTCTACCAGCACTACGACGAGATCCCTGCAGAAAGGTCCAAGCCCTTGGCCACGATTCAGGACAGCGTGATGAGTCCCGAGCCTGTAGAGCTGGACACTGCAGAACCTATGGAGTTGGAGGAAGTGGCCTTGGACGTCAAAAGGAAGGGTCCCGAGTCGCGGACCGTGGTGCTTGGCCCTGAGGACAAGCGACAGCGTACTTGCTTGTTGGTGGAAAACATCGTGGCAAAACATGACTCACGTCAAGAGCACTATTTGTCACAACTGCAGTGGCTCACGAATCGAGGTCGACGCATGAAGCTGGATTACCAATATCAGCTGGACACAATGTGTAACGCTCCTATGTTGTCGCTGCTGGACAATCACATGATGAGGTGCTCGAAGACGAGTCTGCTGAGTGCGAGTGTGGATCCGTTACCGCCTGCGGTACGCTGGCCTGCCAAGAGCTACTCCGACTTCTACATAGATCTCGCTGATGGCGGTGCTTTCAAGGTCGACACTGAGACTGACATCATCGGCGAGAACGATGTCTACGACATATGGGGCCAAGTCGAAGAAGCGGATCACAATGAGCTGATGCAGTTCATCGAGACCAAAAGCTTCCGCAAGGTTCGACTAGACACAATATCCAGCGACACCGTGATCATTGATGCCACGTGGGTCAGGAAGTGGAAACGCAAGGGCGAGAAGCTGGTTGTGAAAAGCCGGCTGTGTGCCAGGGGCTGCTTCGACCCACATAAAGAGCACTTGACCACGAGATCTACCACCGCGACGAGACTTTCTCAGCGCCTGATACTGTCGGTGGCAGCAGTGAACGACTTCGAATGCGAGTCATGGGACATCAGTGGTGCTTTCTTGAAAGGCTTCACCTTTGCCAAGGTTCGTGAGCTTCTACGAGCGCGAGGTATTGCTGCTCCGGTGCGGAAGGTGGTGGTGATTCCTCCGCCAAATGTATGGCGGCACTTGGCGATGGCAGACAAGAGCTTCGAGACTCATGGAAACCACATGATGTATGGTCTTGAGTGCGATAAGCCCGTGTACGGCCTGAACGATGCGCCGCTAGCCTGGCAGCTTTGTCTACATGAGTTCTTGAAGAAGCTTGGCGGTTTCCCTTCGGCCATGGACGAGAACTTGTTCATTTGGAAAACACCGCCGCCAAAGCCACGCATCAAGGCCCTGGCGTCTACACACGTGGATGATCTGTCCACGGCTTCGAAGCAACCGTGGCTCAATGAACAGTACGAGAAGGTGAAGGCCGAGTTTGGTGGTGTGACCCGTCAAGTCATGCCTTTCGACCACTGTGGCTGTCGCTACGAGAAAACCAATGAGGGATACAAGATGCACCAAAGACACTTTGCTGAGAAGCTGGTGGAGGCACCGATTGCGAATGGCAGAAAGGACTCGGACGACCTCTCCTCTGCGGAACTGACCTCTTTCAGATCGGTGCTGGGCGGCTTGCTGTGGCTCACGGCCACGAGGCTGGACTTGATTGCCGATGTGTCGCTCCTGCAGTCAAAGGTCACCAAAGCGAAAGTGGAACACTTGCGGATGGCAAACCGTGTGGTGTTGAAGGCGCGACATCCAGAATCCCTAGACCTCGGGCTACACTACCGCAAGCTGAATGGCAAGCTGCGACTGCTGTGCATCCACGATGCTAGCTCTGCCAACAATGACCGGAACTACGCGCAAGAGGGCATCTTGGTGTTGCTCTGCGAAGATGGCTTCCACGTCAACGATAAGGACTTCAAGCTTGAGGCCAGTGATGTTCTGGTGCAGCAGCTTGGTGGCAAGGCCCACGTACTTTGGTCCCATGGTGCAAAGGCCAAAAGGGTGTCATATAGCACCTCTCATGCTGAGACCCTGGCCGCCGTTGGTGGACTAGAGTCCGTGTCCTTGGTGGCTGTGCGGCTGGCCGAGATCATGTACACGGTCGGCCAACCTTCTTTAAAGACTCTGATCGAGATCCAGGAGTACGGCAACGAAGACCTCCCTGTGGACTGCATGACGGATTGCCGCGACTTCTTTGAGCTTTCCACGGGCGATCGCACGCTCCCGCAGGACAAGGGTCAACGTCTCTATGTGCTTGCTCACAAGGAAGCACGTCTGTGCGGACGCATCAGGTGGATGATACTGGTTCCGACACAGAGCATGACGGCGGACGCTCTCACGAAGCCAATGCTGGCGCCTCCCATGATGTTCCTCTTGTCCAGCGGCATGGTCCTATTTCGCAACGAGCCGAATCATCCTCTGCTTCTACGGCGTCTACCAAAGCTGAAGGACTTCGACGAGGACACGATTCTGAAACCGGACGACGAGCTGATCAACGGCTTCCTGGCGATGATGTTCCTGGCGACAACGAAGGTGCGAAAACCATTCCTCATGGCAGCAGTGCTGGCTTCCAACGTGGTTTCTACAACGGCTTCGACGACGTCTACCTCTACGAGTTCCACAAACAACGAGAACGACATGGACTACATGGACTACACGGACTACATCGTGTTCTGGCTCATGGCAGTTCTCGTCATCGTTGCCACGGAGCGATTTCTATGCCGTGGACTATGGAGGCTCTGTGGTGGCTTTGTGGCTTGGTGGAGCGCGAGCTCTACAACCCGATGGTCGACTTCCTCTACGACAAGAACTGATGCAGCTACCGAAACGGAGATGAAAGGCTCAGATGTTCGACAGCTACGCGGTGCTCTCGAGCGCTGTGATGGATTGGAACGTGCACTGAATCGGCGAGATCGCGAATTGAGCGACCTACGGCTGCGACTTCATGCACGACCTCGACATGATGATGATGTGCTGAAGAATGAGAATGATCGACTTCGTCGAGTGATCATCGAGCGCAATCAACTGTTGGGTCAGAAAGATCGTCAACTGATGGGCTTACAAGAGCGCATGTTCAATCATGCCCAAAGGTGCCCAGCAAACAAGCCTGTTTTCATGGCACAGTACTCACGCTGTTGGCATGCCTGTGAAGATTGTGGACAGTTCAAGTCCAACTCGAACGTGCGTGAAGTCAAGCCATGCAATGACTGCACATTTTGTGCACCGCTCGAGTGATGTGCCAAAACGGCGATCACGAAAACTGAGCAAGAGCGGAGTGAAGTTATATGCACCATACAGATTGCTTAACTTACAAGATCGCTCCCGCAGCGCGCTTGGGCTTCTTTTTTGAGAGAAAGGATCCGCTATTAAGCTGAGTGTAGGCGAGGTTTCCTTATACACCTACAAGTAGGGGCCCCGAAGTTATAAGTAGGACCCTTCTAACCTAACGTAAGTTGGAAGTCGTATTCTTTAGGTTATAATTCCTCAACTAAGCAGAGTAAGGGGGGCCCTATTTGTAGACCCTGAACTCTGAACCCGAATCTGCGCCCTCACCCCCACAAGCGCTCGAAGGACACAAAGGCCGAGGTCACCAAATCTGAGGCCCCCAGCACCCAGGACGGCGCCTTTAGTTTTAAGTTCAGCGATGAGGGTTTAGGGTCTTAGGGTTTAGGGTTTAGGGTCTAGGGTCTTAGGGTTCAGGGAGCACCCACAACGATGACTATCGACGGCTTCGTGGTGCCGTTGATGCATTAGTTCCGAACAGGTTCCTTTACACAGGGTGAACGTCCCAGGCGAGGACCTCGGTAGCACACACGTCTGGATGTGCAGGATAATGAACCCACAGCTGAAGCATCAACTCGTTAGAAAGAGGAGTCCAATGAAAGTGAAACAAGTCTCTACAGTCTCATTGTCTGTCCGATTCAGTTCCAGCTTGCGAGAAAACAACGGGCTACTTCTAAGATGCCCAGTGGCACCCTCATGCCCTTTTTGGGTTAGGTTCCCCTATAAACCCCTTTAAGCCAAAAAGGCACCCTTTTTTCATTGGTTACTGGGCAACCTAGACTTTTGTTGCTTGTATGCATGATGTTATCGTCGTGCTTGCGAGCGCCGACCCCCCAGAGTTGTTTTTTGAATTTTCAACCCCATTACAGGGTGTTGCAGAACCTCAGCACCAGCACAGTTATTCCCTTCTGATTACTAGAAAATAAGATCATTACCGAGTGGGCCCCAAATATTCTTTCTCTTTGTTTTGCGAGTCGTACAAGAACACTAGGGCTCCAAGTATACGAATAATACCTACGTTGGGGTCTAACCGTTCCCACCCCAACCCTAGGGTTTAGGGTTTAGGGTCTAGGGTTTAGGGTTTAGGGTTGAGGGTTTAGGGTTTAGGGTGAGCCCTAAACCCTAAAAACCGTTCGTGCTGCAAGTTGCATCAGGAGCCCGCCGATGCAGCCAGTGCGGCCGACAAAGAGGGCGAGTTGGGCGCTCATGCAGAAGTTTCAGGGTTAGGGTTTAGGGTTTAGGGTTTGGGGTTTGGGGTTTAGGGTGTAGGGTGTAGGGTTTAGGGTTTAGGGTGTAGGGTGTTAGGATTTGGGGTTTAGGGTTTAGGGCACTCCCCACTACTCTCTAAGGCTGCTCACCTTCCCTAAGGGATTGAGTAGAGTTTAGGGTCTCGGTTTAGGGCTTAGGGTTTTATGCAGGAGTTTTGGAGGAAGGGTTCGGGCTATGTAGGGATTAGAGGGTTCAGGGTGTCGCCGCCATTTTCTTTGAACAGTCGCAAAAGAGCTGCTAACTTCTGCTGACTATGGGCGCCGCTGCTGCGGTGATTCACACTTGAATTCCTCAAGAAGTCGCCAACCCTCGAACCTCGAAACCGAACTCAAGCATCCTCGAACAGTCCCCGGCTTTGTGTTAGGGTTTAGGGTTTAGGGTTTAGGTTTTAGGTTTTAGGGTTTAAGGTTACCTGTAGCTGAACTGCCCCCAGGCCCGTGGACGGCAAGGGCAAAGGCAAAGGGAAGGAGAAGAAGGTCTGCGACGGACCTGCTTCAGCTAGTCGGCCGTGGAAATTTGGGGGTTTATAGGGTTTGGGGTTTAGGGTTGGGGTTGAGGGTTTAGGGTTTAGGGTCTAGGGTCTAGGTCTAGGGTTTAGGGTTTAGGGTGTAGGGTTTAGGGTTCAGGGTTTAGGGTATAGGGTTAGGGCCAGGGTGTAGGGCTTAGGCTTTCTCGAGCATGTTGTGTGGTCTGTAATTCACATTTTTTCTCTTTTGGGTGCTGGGTTCCTTGTTCAGCTTCAGGCGTTTCTGGATACACGCCGACATGGCCTCTGTCCAAGCGTGAGGGGTCTCTGCCGGGCCTACGGGGCCTAAACCCTAAACCCCAAACCCCAAACCCGGTGGCCAAGAAGCCGGAGATGAACCGCCTGTGGAATGGCTGGCATCACTCTCCGCATCGACGCCCGTGCGTGGGCTCTGGGTGTTTGCTGCAGGTAAACCCTAAACCCTAAACCCTAAAACCCAAAACCCTAATGGCTTGTCCCCCAGGTTCCCCCCGCCCTTAAATAGCTGGCTGAATAACCTGAGTTATGGGGGAACCTCGGGGGGAGTAGCATAGAGGGGGTAGTAGGGGAACCCATGATGTCACCACGCATAGGCAGTCTGCCGCTTTTGCAGACCCTTCAGTCTTCACCGACAATGCGAGCACCTGTGCGCAGCGGTTATGGCGCAAGACGTTCAGCCGATTTGGCGAATTGTGGAAAGCCTTTACCAAGCCTCCCAGAGCCCAAAAACCTGGCCAAACCCCACTGAACTCCAACCCCTTGTTCCAAACCCTTAAGCCCTCAAACCCTTAAAACCTGGCCCCCCAAAACTCGTCAACCTCAAAGCCTGAGCTCCTAACCCAAACCCTTGAACCCTCAACACCCCCCCCTAACCCCTAAACCCTTAAACCCCTAAACCCCCAAACCCCTAAACCCCTAAGCCCGCAAACCCCCAAACCTCTGAACCCCTAAACCCTCCTCCCGAAGCCTTCAGCCTTGCCTGGAGAGATTTCAACTCTAAGCCTTAAGCTGCCTTGCTGACTTCAGAGTTTAGGGTTTAGGGCTTAGGTTGAGGGTTTCGGGAACATAGGGGGAACAACCTAGAGTAAAGCAGGGTTCATGGAATGTTTTGTTGGTGTTTGTTTTTCGTCAAGGGCTCCAGGGTTTAGGGTTGTTGCATTAAGCAACACCCCCTCCCCCCCACGCCTAGAGCCAGAAAGCCTCCTCCATACCATGCAAAGACCCGGTCTTAGCAGGGCTGCTGAGGGATTGGTGAGAGTACAGATGGGGTGTGATTTTCGGTGATCGTATAGTAGCAGTCCTTAATCGGATTATAGTTCCCCCTATTAAATCCCTATTAAGGACTGTCAGTGTAAGGGTGAGCATCGCAGCTCGTAAACCATTAGAAAACCGACGCTTCCTTTTGCGCTGTGCCAGAAAACCTCTTTCTGGATCTCCTGGGACTCCCTGGAGAGGCCAAGACTGGTTTAGGACTATAAGAAGGCCTATGTTGGGTGTATAGGGTCTTTAGGGTTCAGGGTTTCGGGTCTTAGGGGTCAGGATAGTTAGATCCCTATTCCTGGTGTTAGGAGTTGGGTTGCTCTTTATGAGCCCGCTAGGCCCCCAACAAGGTTGCCCTTCTGAAACCTGAAGACATTTCGTAGCTTCTAATGGGGTACTACCAAACATGATTAGTAGCAATGAGTCGTCGCATTACTATTGTAATGTGATTATTCTTCTTCGCTTTCTTGTTTATCGTCTTACTGGTTTCAAACTACTAGTGCTGTTTTGTCTATTCGCTTGTTCCCTACACGGAGATGCTTGCTTGACCTAAGGTCGTAAGGCCCAAATGTTCAAGACCTACCAGGGGGTCCTACCAGGGGGGGGCGGGTGGGGGGGAGATGGGAGGGGAGGTGGGGCGGGGTGGTGGGGTGGGGGGTTCTATGCTTGGGCTGTGCACGTCGCTGCCTTAGCTCCTGTGGTTTGGGAGGGACGCGTAGAAGCTTCGCTGTATAACCACCGTGTCCCTTAGACTTGAGGGCCCTTGCCTTCAGCCAGATCTGCAGAGATCTGCTCGCAAGGGAGGTTCTCGCAAGTCCAGCATGAAGTGCCCGACAGAAGACGACGGCCCAAAGCCCGAACCCCCAGACCCAGCCTCTACAAACTTAAGTCCGATTAACCTAAACCCCTACTTGGAAGCCCTTCTGACTTTGCTGGGGGGGCTTATCATAGGGTTTCTAGAAGATACTACGTAGACTTACCTAAGTCAAAAGAGCTTGCAAGAAACCCTGAGGAGACAGTCAAAGAGCTTCTAAGGCATCCCAAAGAGTTCATGGGCTTCCGTACTACCCCCCTGTATACTACCCCCCTAGGTTCCCCCCTTAAATAGGCGAAACCCTAAACCCTAAACCCTAAACCCTAAACCCTAAACCCTAAACCCTAAACCCTAAACTCCTAAATAGCCTCAATTTTGGACTTGGACCCAAGAAAAAGCCCGACGTTGCTTGGCAGGCGAATTGAAAAAGGCCGATGGGTGGCGATCAGCTGCTCCAAGGACGCCCACCTTGTTGGAAAAGGGTAGAAGGGTCTTCGGGGTTTAGGGTTTAGGGTTTAGGGTTTAGGGTTTAGGGTTTAGGGTTTAGGGTTTGGGGTTTAGGGTTTAGGGTTTAGGGTTTAGGAATGCCCCGAGAGCGAATGGATCTGTGGTTTTATCCAAAATGTTCGGCGCCTGGTTAAGTCAAGGCACTTGTAGCTTAGCCGATGGTGAGCAGGTGATGGTTTACTTTACAGTGCTGGCCTTTGTAGATTCGGAAATGTTGTGGAGACAACCGCTGGTGTCTTGCACAGACAGCACCATTTCTTCCATGATTGTGGCAATGTGACAGCACCATTTCTTCCATGATTGTGGCAATGTGATGCCAGGGAAATTGGTGCTCCAAATGGTCACAAGTTGTTTGACATTATTTGGTGATACACATGCTTTTGCAAGTGGCAACAAAAGCGACAGACAACACAACATGCTTCCGTTTCTCCCCATGCCTGTGCACGAAAAGCCATTGCTTCCTGAACAGAGGTTCGATGTACCAGGCAGCCAGACGTCTAGTTTCAAGACTCAAGACATCGTCCGTCTCCCCCTAAGCTGCAAAACGAGCCACCCCGGTTGAGCAGCAAGCTGGAGCTTTGAGTGCATTGCAGCCATTTCGGAAATGTTATCATGCGGCTTGTCGCCACAGCTTCGATTTTCCTAGTTTTGCTTCATCGCACCCGTGCTGATGGAGCACCTGAGTGTCCATGCATCTCCAACACATCCGCGACTCGGTAGGATCCTGGGATCTTTGCTATTTCCCCTTAAATATTGGGTTTAAGAGGCTCATACGTAGGAATTATGTTTCAGAGGATCTTTTAAGGGACCATCCCAGGCAAGCTATCTGGAGTTGCAAGCGCAGCTCGCGGCAGCAGGGCTTGACGGCTACGGGACTCTGGGATGCCGCGCCTACGATGCTTGGTAGCCCAGTGGTGCCCTTTACTTTTTTTTTGGTTAGGAGTCATGGGCTCCCTTATATAATAAGCTAGCCAAAAAAGGTGACCTTATTATAAATATTAAATATGGTTATGGGTTCCCTTATATAATAAGCTAGCCAAAAAAGGGTGCCCTTATGAAAATTTGGTTATTGGGCTCCCAAGGATGCAAACTTGTCAAGATTCGGCTGCGAGTCCAACGAAGGGTTTCCAGGTAGGCCCTTGGAAATATGGTTTTCTATATTTTCCCTCACTGGGTTTAAGACGACCATATGTAGGAACATACCCTAAACCCTAGACCCTAGACCCTAAACCCTAAACCCTAAACCCTGGGTGTTGAGGGCCATCCCAGGTTTAACTGCTTGAGCCCATGGTGCTTTGTGGATATGGCCCTGTGCCCCGCGGACGCGGCGCTGTGCGCGGCAGCTGGTGGATTGCTCGGCAGCTATGCATCCCCCCACTGTAGCTTGGTTCGCCTGTGGTTTAGGGTTTAGGGTTTAGGGTTTGGGGTTTAGGGTTTAGGGTTTAGGGTTTAGGGTTTAGGGTTGGTAGCCCAGTGGTAGCCTTTCTCCTTTTTTTGGTTCAAGGGTTCCCCTTTAAAGCAAGCATCCCAAAAAAGGTACCCTTATGATAATATGGCTACCCCTGTTATGCCCTCAACAGAATCGAATCCCCTTACAGGGACCCCCAAAAAGGGTACCCCTAATCCCTAAGTCCTAAGTCCTCAACCCTAAGCTCTATTTTCGGAAACCCCCTGTGGCTACTGGGCTACAAAGGTAGAGATCGGCCCATTCGCGGCCATGCCCTCAATGGGAGTGTCCACCACTACAGCTACGAGACCTGTGGGGGTTTCCGATAATGGGGGGTACCTTATTGGGGTCCCTATAAAAAGGGATTCCTGCTATTTGGGGACTATATTGATTAGGGGCACCTTGGTGGGGTTCTTATGATAATTCAATCTTACTATTCGGGGACTTCGGGGTACTTTTTTTCGTAACCCCAGGTGGCTCCATCAATCGGTATGACCGGGCTCGGCTATCGGCTGATGTCTCTGGACGTTCCATCAGTGTGGCCGTTGATGCCTGGGAACCTTGGGTGCTACTGCGCACGTCTCCAAGCGGTGTGGAAGAGTATGGCGGCGCCACGTACGACTTCTTCATGCAGGCAGTTGCTTCCTTCAAGCCGCAGCCCATACTCCAGATCATTCCTGGCTGGGCCACTGAGCAGTCACGGCAAAAGTTTGAAAGCTCCTACACAGCTTGTGTGCATGATGTGGCCGTGGGAAATTTCGATATCTGCATAGCTGACATGTGGCTTACACCGGAGCGCCACCAACTGGCCTCCTTCTTGCCAGCTGTGCGTCAGGACCACTTCTACCTCGTAGTCCCCAAAAAGATGGAGGTGGTGACGATCTGGAGTTTGCTTCAGAAGCCCTTCCAGCCCTTCACAGCAGATGGTTGGCTGGGTGTCGCCGCGGTTCTTATTGGCATGGCCGTACTTCACTGGCTGCTGGAATTGAGTGAGGAAGGCATGGAGGGCAACTGGAGAAGCCAGTGCTCATGGAGTTTGGCGCTCGCTCTTCGCTTCCAGTTCACCATGTGGCACGACTTCTTTCAGGGAGGCAGCAGCCTTGAAATCAAGAAGGGTGCTGCCTACAAATTCTTCAGCCTCGCGTTTTCTTTTTTCCTCCTTGTCACCCTGGCGAGCTACACGGCTAGCCTTGCATCGATGCTGGTTGTGAGGCATCAAGCGGTTGGAACTATCAGCAGCATCGAACATGCGGTTTCCCAGCAAGCACGCGTTTGTATCCCATCTGTGCTATTGCAGACATTTAGGAACGTGTACCCTCACGCTATTTTCGTAACGATTGACGGAATGGAATTCGGCGCACGCTCCATGCATGCAGGAAGATGTGAAGCTCTGGTCTTGTCAGAATACTACATCGATATGATGCATGCAGACAAGATCCGCCAAAAGGACTGTCATGATGTTGAAAATGGCGTGCCCGAGGAAGTTGCACGCTGCGAGGCAGACTTCCGCGGTAACAAGCGCGATGATTGCAACCTTCTTCGTGTTGGGGGCCTACTCTGGAGTGTTCCCCTTTCTTTTCCAGTCAGCGACAAGATAGCGCACAGTATGGGGTGGGCTGTCACAACCACACTTTCTGCTGGGCTAATGGAGAAGCTGGGTTGTGCTTTGGGATACTCTTTAGTTTCCCTTCTTTCCCTATAAGGAAACCTATTGTTTTAAGTAATCTTCAAAGAGTTTAAAGCCACAACTCAGGAAGATGAAGCGACAGAATTCGGACGCGTATCCGGTGTCCCAGTGCCGTGCAGCGGACCGAAGGGAGGAAGATGGCATGACTTTCGAGGACATGAGCGGCACCATCTTCATTACCGCACCTTGGTATAGGCCAGGGGTGCCCTTTACCCTTTTTTGGGGTTCAGGTTCCCTTATGAACTAGCCAACCTCAAAAAGGGTGCCCCTATTATAAGATGGGTACTGGGCGAGCAAGGCGCTCATCGTAGCTGTTGGACTTCTATGTCACACCACCAGCTGGCTGTGGCGACGAGTTTCCCCAGATAAGGCCCGGGAGTGTGACCCTGCCCTCGAGGGTGGGGCTCCTTCGTCATAGTTGGGTAACGTTTTGCAATTTTTAAGGGTACTTAAACCCAATAGGGAATAGAACGTTCACTTCTTTATATTATCCCAACCATGAACCAGGCTCTTTGAAGATCACGACGTGAAGATCTCCCGTCAATCCGAGTTCGGAAATCTCACCGGGCTGCATCGGCACGTAAGTCCACTTAGGGTTTAGGGTTTAGGGTTTAGGGTTTAGGGTTTAGGGTTTAGGGGTTAGGGGTTAGGGGTTTAGGGTTTAGGGTTTACCTTTAAAGGGTTTGGAGTTTGGAGTCACGTAAGGAGGGTCGGCAAAGCTCCCCTCAAAGTTCCCTCTTAGCTGCGTTGTCAGCTCTGGTCTAGTGGCATCCCAAGTATGCCAGTTTCATCTCTCGACAGCAGTTCGGACATGTTTTAAATTTTAAATCCAGAGTGCAGCTTGCAATGACCAGACCACACAAGCTGGTCTTCTCCCCCATCGCTGAATCAGAAAAACGTCGTTTGTCCGCGTAGCCAAGGGTGCTTGTCCATCGTCTATGCAAACATTAGCTTATGGCAGCTGCCAGTGATGCGAGAATCACACGCGGGTTTACGAAAATCATAAGGGAATCCTACCATTTTGTGGCTCATAAACCCCCACATGCCAGCGCTTTGTTCCTGTGAGAATGCGCGGGGCTTCGTGCAGCTCAGCTCGTGGCTGCCCCAAAGTGCCACCTCAGTGGGGAGACCTTTCAAGATGAAGCTTCTGCCTCAACTCACTCACTTACCTCAATTGCCTCGAAATGATGGTCCCTTTTGGGCATTGCAGCACAAGACGGAGCCTTGTATGTAGCTTTGTGGCGCTTTACTGTAACTTTGCATCTTTAGCCTTTTTGGGTTTATTGGGTTTCTTAATAAGGCAGCTAAAAATTAAATTTATAGCTACCCTGCTAAGAGCAGCCAAGGTAGGGTACCCGAAAAAGGTCCATAAATTTGCGAACTCCCCATGCGTGGATGGGTCGAGCTGTCTTGGTTGATGAAACAGCACACGAAACTATGGGGGTTTTTGAAATTAGGGGTGCCTTCGTGGGGTCCTTCTTATAAGGGAATCCTACCATTTTGGGGGACTCTATCTTGGGGGTCCATTTTCGGAAACCCCCCTATTGAGATGGTCCTAGCATGGCCTTGGTGCGGCAAACCTCTCAGATCCATGTCTGTTAAAGCATGTCGCCAGCGGATGTAAGGGGAAAGGCCCCTTGTTATCGCAAGTTTCCTTAATGGAGCCTTCCTTACCTGGGAGTCAGCAGTCCAGCGAGAGAACGATACGAGGGTCACCACCATCACATGCGGAAGATTCCCACAGGGCACTTAGGGGGACTTTGGGGTTTAGGGTTTAGGGTTTAGGGTTTAGGGTTTAGGGTTTAGGGTTTAGGGTTTAGGGTTTAGGGTTTAGGGTTTAGGGTTTAGGGTTTAGGGTTTAGGGTTTCGGTCGCCGTGCAGAGGTGGGGGCACGTAGGAAGGTTTTGAAAGAAGGCAAGACTTGCACGGACTGCATCAAGTTACAGGGTCCTTAAGGGAGGGGGGGGTCTTCCCTAAGCTTCCCTCAGCTTCCCTAAGCTTCCCTACCTACCTCACATGAACCGTAAACCCTAAACCCGAATCCCTAAACCCCAAACCCCAAACCCCAAACCCTAAACCCTAAACCCTAAACCCTAAACCCTAAACCCTAAACCCTAAACCCTTAAGGACCCCATAAATCAAGGCCTGTGGGAGTGCTGAAGATCATAGCAGTTGAGCCCTACAGACCAGGAGGGCCACACCCCACGCCTCCTGTTCAGGATCACTCTGCCAAGATCTGGGAACTCCATAGTCACGAATGCCGCGGTACGCTAGCAGGCTGGGCGGGTTAGGGTTTAGAGTTCAGGGCTTAGGGTTCAGGGTGTAGGGTTTAAGGTTTACATAGGGTGTTTAGGGTTTTTGGGGGCTTAGAGGGTTTTAGGGTCGAAAGGGTCCGAGGGTCTGTGGGTTCAGGGGTGCGGGGCTTGGGTTGGGGATGTTGCTTCTCCACCCTGAGAAGTGGTTCCACAGCACTGGCTGAGCTGTGTCGAACCTTCAAGTCCTGAACACCCACACATGAACCTGTTCAGGGCCGGTTGAGGTAGAATAAACTATCTACCATCATTGAAAAAGAGACATGCACCTCAAATCAGTGTCATGTTATAGCCCCTTGTTAAGAGGTATAGGTTAATCGGTAGTGCTTAGGGCTTCCTTATGTTTAGCACAAAGAGGTCAGGTCAATTCCATGGGGTGCTGTTTAGATGTACATGTAACTTTTGGGTTTGGGCCTGGGATAGAAGCCGACTTCTTCGTGGACAAGCCGGAATAGAGGACGAGACTTTGTGTCCGTTCGCAGCTGTAAGCTGCTCAAGAAGGGCCCTTCTTAGTACTGTAGCAGCCTGTATTGTACAGTTTTCGCCCCCGTGGATAGTGTTCCTGTACGTCGTGGACCTGATTGGCCAACTCGCATCCGGAGGAAAGAGGAGCCAAATGGGTCGGGCGTTGACGAGGAATAGATCCTTTTCCCTAACCTCGGGATAGTTATCTGTTCTCTTTACAACTCATAGCCGGAGGCCGGAGGATACTGAGGGCAGGTGGCTGTTCAGGTGAATATCGGGATAGGTGTACAACACGCAGCCGGACGGCTAGTGGATACATCTAGAGCGATAGGTTACCACCCCCTGGAGATAGCAACTCTGGGGATCCTTCCGATAGTTAACGTCGGGAGTGGCTCGGAACGATTGGCTAGCTACCTTGAGTTCCCCGTTGACAGGGATACTGTTACTTCTGGTGCAACATTACAACCTACAACTGTAAATATACAACTTCTTTCTCCTCGTGTGGCCTGAGCTAGTTACTGGAACGGGTTGCGCAAGTTTTCATTGGTTTGGACACTTCGCACAGGTTAAGAGCCTTGTTGCTTGGCCTGGACGAGCTGTTCGAGAAGTTTTCTTGGTATAGCGAAGAGGTACCACTTGCATAGCGAAGTTTTCCGCATTTGTCACTTGTGTTCGTTGACTGCAGCAATGTCCACACGTGATAGCATTGGGAGCAGTGAGTCTAGCGATAGTGATGTGTTGGGAGTAGGGAATAGATTTCTCGAGGACCAGGTCACTGCGGTCAATCAGGACGTGGCGGCTACCGATAGTCATGTGAGAAGCATAGCCGACGCCGAGAACGTGAACTTCATCGACGACGGACGGAATAGTGGAAGGACGGGAATGGAGATGGATAGCAGTGATAATAGAGATCGCCTCGGCCTCAGTTTCTCAGGACCGCTTACTGTAGACATCAGGTCGAGTGCTGCGAATAATATATTAGTGTCAGGACCACCCCCAGGACTGACGGATAGAAACTTGGAGATCGTGGCGGCGATGGATAGTGTGGGGAGGTCGGGAGGACTGGGCTATGCCGGAATAGCGGACACGTCGGGCACTCAGGGGAGGGACGCAGACGAAGGATTGCAGGAGTTGCTCGCAATCCCGTCGATAGCAGATAGAGGGGATGCCATAATGCAGCTCAGCATGCTTGCAAGCCGTCCTGTAGTGTTTGATCCAGTTATGGGAGCTACGGATTTGAATGAGTATAGGGCCGGAAGAGGTGGGATAGAAGCGGGAAACGCTAGGACTCCGACGCTTGCTATCGAGGATCTGGCTGGAATAGATGAAAGGATGGAAGAGGGACCGTTCGTCATCCCCTCCGAGCCTGTGTCCCACGGGACGAATTACGAGTCAACGGGAGGTGCCAAGGGAATCACTGGTTCCAGGTTAGAAATGGCGATCGAGGACAGAGTGGATAGTCTTGCAGTGTCATCATCGTCAGATCATGATAGGACGATCAGGAGGAATGATGATGGAATAGATGCGATGATGCCCAGTGGCGAGCTCGGTGCGGAGGGCGATCGAACAAGAAGTGCGGATAGCGGACATTGGATGGACAGAGGGAATGGAGATGATCTCGTTCCAGGAGTGTATTCGAATAGTGCGACCATGAGTGGGAATGTCGGTGCCGATCCTACAGACCTGGTGTTGATAGCTAAGGGATCGTCAGCGGTAGCGCAGAACGTGGTCAGTGAGAGCGATGATAGAGCACTGTCTGTATTTTCATCTACAGGTCTCTCGGAGGCATCACCAGGCGGGAACGTTGAAGCGTTGAAGGATGTGAGGATGGGTCAGACTACGACGATCGGAATAGAGTGGGGATCCCATGGAATCCGGAGTACGCTCGAGGAAACGGGGGTCATCACTGACATGGACTTTGCGAAGTTCTTCACAGATCAGGGGCCAGGAGAGCCTGGATCAACGCCCATGACGATGCAATCGGATTCGCAGGAACGGTGGAACGCTGGGATATATGGTGCCGAGATCGCAGGGGTAGAGAAAGACAGGTCACGAAAGATGTCGATGGGGTCGGATAGTGGGCACTCAGGTGGTCGATCTACATCATTGAAGAGGGATAGCCCGGGTGGATCGGAAAGTGGAGTTGGTACCACCAGCAAGATAGGCAAGATGGATGAGGGACTGCGTAAGCAACGAGCGGAGCAGGCCGTTAAGGAGATGAACCAGATAGCCGAGAGCGTCCCCGCAGCGAAGAAGTCGAAGTCGACAGAAATTGGGGGACCGATCCATCAGGCAGGAATGATCACCCCGGATCAGGGTAGCGAAGGATGGGGCAATCGATCCCCGGCTCCACGATCTCCTGGGATAGGTGGGCAGTACGAGCATTTCGGGATCGATACTCCTCCTGAAGGACGAGGCAGGAACGACGAGATGAGGGCAACATCATCCCCACCCAGGCGGGCAAAGATGAGAGCTCCTGCTGATCCGGACAAGTCGTCGTTGGGAGAGATAGATGGCAGGATAGATGACTTGCAGACGGTGGTTGTGGACACGCAGACCGACGTAGCCAAGCTTAAGGTGGCAAGCGAATGTGCAAGTGCAATTGCTAATAGCTCAGCGGAAAAGGCGGACGTCGTGAGCAAGGAGGTGAAGCACTGGAAAGGTTGGATAGAATCGCAGCAGATAGATACCAAGACAACACTGTCGCAGGAGCTGAAAGAGATGAGTCGGATCATGGACGGGAGCGTCAGCGAGGATAGGATGGATGATGCAATGGCTCCGCAACTGACCGAGGGAGCAATGCAGCTCGCGCGGAGAATGAGACGGCAGGTTGAAAACGTGAAGGTGCTCAAGACCTCTGTTACGACTAGATTGAAGGGAGTGGAGGAGCGATTGTCCACAGCGGAGCATTCAGCGGACATAGCCAAACAGAGTACCGGGACGAAGATCACCACGTTAGAAACAGGATTGAACGAGGTGAGACGTGGCATAGGTGTAGTCTTCTCGAGCATGCAAATGCGACACGAGAATGGAACATGGAAGAACGAGAGACTGGATAAAGTAGAGACGGTTTTGAATAGACAGTGGGACCAGATCAAAATAGCGGGCGAGGAACTAAGGAAGCTGAAGTCCAAGGGGAGCCAGAAAGCCGGAACAGATACGGCATCGTCGTCACATTGCAACAGCCAAGGAAAAAGTCCTGGATGCGGATGCAGAGAACCTGGCGAGGGTCACGGCACGTGCATAGATGGGGCAGTGCGGGGCGAAACCAAGAAGCTGAGTGAAGTGGTTCTGGCGCAGAAGGAACACATAATGACCGTCGCGAGAGAGGTGATAAAGAACCGCAAAAGCGTGGCTGAGATTGTGGCGAACATGACAAAGGTTCACAAGACTTGCGAGAATGTCGCTGCAAGGACCGATCGGATGGATGAGAAGAGAAACGGAGAACAGGCCTGGGTGAAGGATACCGTGCGAAAGATGGAAAAGACAATGGAATCAATGTCGAGCCGTATGATAGATGAGCAGAAGAGAGTCACCGGCGAATTTATCCTTGTCAATGCTCGAATTGATGAGAGCGCACGGAACGAAGGGGTAGGCAAGATGCGAGGAAACAGCGCGGAGATAGGAAAGCCACCGGCCATGTCACGCGGACGAGATAGTCACGGTGGGAGTGGGGGAGCCGACGGAAGAGCCAGGAGCGACAACGCCCGAGGGATAGAGGCTTCGAGGCCGGAGTTGGCAGGTCCTGTGGTAGATCGAAGGATTGAGAGTAGATGCATTGTGTTAGAACAGCAGGTGACCAAGATCACTAGTCAATTGCAGGGGTTGACCACTGTGAATGAGCGGATCGTGAGGGAGAACGCTAGCCTGCTCAGTGAGATAGAAAGCATGAAGGGGGAGAACAAAGGAGTGACAGAATCGGTAGCGCGGATGATCCGGGATAATAGAGATGAGGTATCTAAAATGAGAGCGGATCTCGATCTTCGTAGTAGAGAAATGATTGAACTCAAAGAGAAGAACGAACAGTTGGAGGCAACGGTACGAGAGTATGAGCGGAGACTGGAGCAGGTGAAACGAAACGATAGCATTAAAGCAGAGCTGGATAGCATGTGGAATAGAATCGGTGAGATCGCCAAGCAGAGCTCCGAGTACGCTATGCCGGCGCCGGCTGCGGGAGGTGCTTCGAACGCTGGCTCCGCAAGACCAAGTGCCGGTGCCACGCCTGCGCCAAGTTCGTTTGGGATAGAAGAGAGCATGGAAGAAAGGATAGACAAGGAGATGGAGGTCTGTTGGGGGAAGAGACTAGGATTAGAAGGTGCCCCGTATGTGTTAGACAAGCAGAAATGATGATTGCATGCCATGGCTGCGGAAGAGAAGTGTGTGGTAATTGTTATGAGTACCATGATGACGTGTGCATGCTGTGTTCCACTGATAGAAGGGGATGCGATGCCGGAGGGTATGCAGGGACAGGACTTCCGAGGCCGCAGAGCGGACGAGATC